GTTTCCTGCAGAGTTGAACGATTCCCATGCTCCAGGCATGTTCGGCATGAAACTCTCACTCGGTTCTTGTCTGCTAGGTTCCTGGCTAATGGCACTCATATAGAGGCTTTGCGCTTCATCATGAGAGAAGTACTTAGACTCGAGAAGTTCGGCATTGGGGGTGACGTCTTGTGAACCTGTACTGCCACGCTCCGAGGTTGGAGAAGATGTATAAGAAGGTTGTAGCGCTGCGCTAATATGGGATCTTTCATTATATTCATTGTCGTCGTAATCATTGAGGTTGTGCATGGGCTGCACTGGTTCGTGAGGTTCGGAGCCGGTCTGGCTTTGATGCGAGTCGTAAAGGTGGCGCACATGGAGACTCTCGGGTCGAAGTGAAGCTTGTGAATACTGTTCAGCATCGTATCTCAGACTCATGCTTGCCGGGTTGGGCGACGAGTCGCTTCTTTCACTTTCAGCGAGTGCATCCTCGTGTGGTTGTATAAATGGTGACTGTCCGTCATCAAAGTCATCAAATTGATTGTCAATCACCGAGTCTAGATACCCCGGGTTGTCTTGGAATGGATCATCTCCAAAGACCTGAGAGTCTTCGGGATACCCACCATGATAGCTTCCTTCAGAATCCGCATCTGAGAAACGGCCATGAGAGAAGGTAGATGCTCCCAAGCTATGCCCGGTAACATTTGAACGGTAAAGGACTTGCGGTGGTTCGAATATAGTTGACTGTGTCATGGAGAGGGGTTGATCCAGTAACGGAGGTGATGGGGTTCTGCTTGATGGCTGACTTTCCTTTGAACGTGTCGTCGTTGGCGATGGAGGAGCCGCAAACCGGGAGTAATTCGAAAATACCATCGGGTCCGAAATCAAGCCCACATTTATGTCCGCGATTGAGATGAGTCGCTTTCCTTCTCGGGAAGGGAATTCCTCCGCAGTGGTTGTTGTCTCGGATACCCCGTGGACATCGATCTCCCCGACGCTCAACAGACCCCCAACAAGGTCCGGTTTGTCTTCTGGCTGCCTCTTGGACATCCCATCCTGCTTCAACTCCATATCCACTCGCACAGCGACATTCTTGATCGAGAGTTGTAACCGATCTATCACACCCTTGACAAACCCGGCGACAAAGCTCGGCAACGACGTCGTCTCGCTTCCAAGTCCAAGCTCATCCTCCTCGTCATCGGCGCCATAAGCCAACGGATCGTGTGATAAAACCTGAGACTGTGACGATATAGCAGCCTTCAACTCATCCCGCTCCTCCTTCGGCTCCGACTCAAGGAACGACTGCGCCAGATCAGTCGCTGTAGGCACCACGGCCGATGCAGACTTAGAACCTCTCTCCTTCCCATGTTTCTCCAGACTCGACTCGTCTGACGATATTCGAATATGCACGTCAATACCACTCGCCTCACAAATGACCCCGCTGCTGTAGATATCGGCCGGGATGGTTATTCGAAGGAGCTGGATTCGAGCACTGAGCAGTTCACACGACGAAGGAAGGTTCAAAAGCGTCGCTAGTTTCTATATCATAAAGATCCACATGTCAGTCGACGCGTTTTCCAGTTCATAGTTGATGGTCAACAAATGGGCCCTCCCCGCAGCCCGCACCCGACATCGACCACCACCGCAACCTCCAACTTCCCACTCACTTCTGCTTTTAACCCGACGTCTCTTAACTCGACTGTACTTCTTTGTCCCCAGCGGATGCCCAAGTTGTCCAGGTCGAGCGCCTCGGTGTCCACCAGCCCGGCGCGGGAGAGGGCGTACTTGAGCAGCCGCTTCTGAAAGAACGATGGTAGGAAGTACCCCATCGTGACTGAGAGCCTTGAAATGGCTTACTCAAGTACTGGAGGAAATCATCGAAACTGAGAAGAAGCCCCGAGGGGAGTGAAGGGAGGAGGTGTCGATGACGTTCCGGGCAGCTGATAAAGGCGATAAGTGAACCGAGTCAGGCGGCGACCGTTTGTTGACTCCCAATGTCTTCCCGGTGTTTGCTGTCCTACTTGTTCGAATATTGGAGATTTTGCCACTGTAATACTGTAATGATTGAAAACGCCATTCATGTCTGTTTTTAGGTGACTATATATGTCTTAACATCCCGTGATCAAACTAGTCATCGACATCAAACTCCGCAAACTCCAAAACGATCCACTCGCAGAACTTCTCAAATTCAGATCCAAAGTCACGCAAGCGCTCAGATTTCAGCCCCTTGCCCATCACCCCGTTCTGGATGCCAGCCTTCCACTCGGCCGTTGATTGATCTTCGTAGCAGCTCCACCGGATGGAGTTCTGAGCCATCATCGATAGGCCGACCAAATCCACATTTTCCAGTCCCTGCAACGCTTGCCAGAAATCATGTGTCAGTCCATTCCGCCCATGGCCAAGGATTGCGGGGTCATCGTTGCACAGCGAAACGGGTACGCCTCTGGATAATAATGCGGGGAGAGGGTGGGATTTGATGGAGCTGGCAAGGCGGAGGACCTCGTTTGAAATTGGGCAGCATTCAACGAGGATCTTCTTTTCTTTGACTAGGTCAATCAGGAGAGGGTGTTTGTAGAGCGAGAAGCCATGGCCGATTCGTCGCGTGCCGAGGAGGATGGCATCGAACAGGTTGTGGTCAGTCGCATCACCATCACCTAGGCATTCACCGGCGTGGAAGAAGAAGGGAATATCAACCCCTTCTTCTGCACATTGCTTTCGGAACCAGAATAGGATCGGGACAAGGTCAACAAGTGGTCTTCCCCGATCTTCTTGTCCGACAAGGTCGAACCCGCAGAACAGATCGGGAAATGCCTGCTTCGACTCAATGCACTGCTTCATACTCTTGATAATGAGGTCATTGGAAAAGCGGCGTAGCGTAGTCCAGATCAGTCGGGCATCGTAGAAGTGCTTCCCTTCTTCCGACTCCTTGAATTGATCCACCACCTCTTCCACCACGCGAGCCCACTCGAAGAAGTCCGTGTCAGGCTCATCATTTCCTTGTCTCCTGTACTTGAAGTTAAATCCGATCCGGAATTCCACGTATCGGATACCATCGGCAGCCAATTGTCCAAGCAAACGGTGAAGACAGACCCGGAAAATAGGCTCATACATGAGTAAGGAATCGATAATGGGGAAGGTGTTCTGGAACAGACCCCAGATTGCATCGACTCCGTGATGGTGGTGGTATGAGTGCTCGGGCATGAGCACACAGCGACTAGTCAGCCATTCCCGGAACCCCTTCTCCCCTCCATTAGGGAAAGACGAGGCAGCTTTCTGGATTGAGATCAACGATAAAGGCTCGTATGTCTGAGTCCAGATACTGGGCTTCTCCTCTGATATGCTCAGGGGCTGCGAGGAATACTGGAACGTCAGAGGCGCGGAGTCCAAGTCTTTCTGTGTGATCAATGGACCCGGGGCAGTCATGTGTATCCCCGGCGTGGAGAATGCCTGGTCAAGCAAAAATTCGATATCGAACATGGCATCCATGTGCGCGTGGAGAAGGGAGCCTTTCGGCATCTTCTCCACAATCTTCCACAGTTTGGTTTTCTCCATGCGCCCTTTGGCCAAATTAAACATGACGCCCGGGTAGAGGATCTCATCTGACTGGTGGGCGGCAGCTTCGTCTAATCCACTGGTCCATAGTTCGTTCTGCTCCTGGGCTCGGATCTGCGAAACGATCTTCGATGCCCGGGCGGCTATAGGCGACAGTGATTTGCGGAGGTTTGCATCTGGGGAGGATCAGTTTGATTACACTGGAACTGGGGAACTGGGGAATTGGGGAACTACCATGACGTCTCTTTTGCTCTTCCACGATAAGAGCATCGCGTCCTTTGAGATATTGTTGGATAAAGGGATCACCGAACTGTGGGATGCCCTCCTCGATTTCCCATTCGTTATCCATGTTGGTGTTAAAAGAAGAAGTTCAGAAGAGGGGCAGATGCTCCCCGCCTTTCCGTTTCCGATTATGCTTATTCTGCTCTTCTTCCCCTAAATAGGTCTATTTGTAGCGAGTTGATTTTTCTTTTTTCTTTCTTTTTTCTGTTTTGATTGGGCTAATTTACACACAAATCAGCCTCATTTGAACCTTGATGTATTTCCTCCCGCTGACCGTCGGTCTACGGGGATATATCACTCGGCGTTCGCCGCAGAGTTATAGTCCTATGAAATAGACTTCAAAAAGAGATACACACACAAATAACACGAATAACAAAGAGCGTGTGTGTGCCAAGCTAACTATCGGAGCCGTGGATATCAAGTGGACACTCCGAACTCTACCGCTTATTGACTGAGTCTCCAGTTTTTCAACGCTAAATTTACCCTAAATTCCCTCATCCGTGATAAGTCACACAATGCCTATTTGTGAAATACTCGCTCTTCCCGTCACACAACAGGCCAGGCACTCGATCTACTGACCTCGGTACTCCATACAAATGAGAAAAACTCTCTCAGAGCACGCGACTCCACAAACGTGCATAATAAACAGTGCGGAGAGACTTTCCAACCGCTTAGTCTGATCTACACGCGACCAATCACCACCGCGACATGAGTCTAAATGGGTCGGTGGCAAGATATCTCTACCTAAACAGAGCTAGGCCACCGACATAGTGCAACCGTCTTATCAATGGCTCCAAATATGCGGTTACATGTGGCTCTGGGTGGCTCGACGTGAGACGGGAGCCCCGTCGGCCTGTCCGTTCATTGGTGTGTCGACCCCAGAGCTGGACGAGAAAGGGAGGTCTCCGATGGCTAGCCTTGTTCCTATCCTTGTTAGCGTTCTCTCTATCTCTTCCAGAAATCCCCGCACAGATTGTCTCGCGTGGCAAGTGAAAAATAAATTGGAATGCCAGTAAAGTTGGAGATAAGTTAACCGACTTCTCTTATAAAACCCTTCGCTCGCCGATCTTCCCTTGCAGCACGGGCGGGTCTTGTCTAATTTTTGGGTCTTTGGTCTTTTTTTTTATATCGTAATTGCACTTGAGTTTGCACTTGAGTTTGCATTCAATTCTGCACACTTTTGGACAATGGATAAATCCACGGAGGCCACAGCCCAGGCTGTCCCCCATGACCCTGTGCTGGATCCAGAGAACCAACATCACCACACTCATCACCACCATACAACCTACGCCGAAGAAGGTCGCCAAGATGAAGTAGTCTACTCCAGCGATGTCAAGTTCGACAAAGCCGTGGTCCCCGAACCGACACCACTGGATCACGAGAGCAAGTCCAGCTCTAGGGATGAAGAAGCTGCTGAAAGCTACCCCCAGCGAACATGGTATCGGCGCGCGATGAAGCATCGGAGACACGCCGTCCATTTGGTCGTTTGGCTCTTATTTACCGGGTGAGTTGATGGAGTCCACTCTGGAATCTGGAAATGCGGGTATCAACACCTTTCAAAGCAGAGACTCATGCTTCTTTTAGCTGGTGGATTGCTGGTCTGATTTTGCATCGGTCTGACCTCGGATGGCTCATCCCATTCCTGCTGTATCTTGCTATCACCCTGCGCATGATCTTCTTCTATGTTCCCATCACCATCGTGACGAAGCCTATGAGCTTCGTGTGGTCACACACTGCCCGTGTGATCGTGCGCGCGATCCCAGAGAAGTTAAGGACGCCCGCTGGCGCCCTGGTATGCATTGCTGTAATCATCATCGGAGCATTCGCCTCCCCAGAGTCCGAAGATAACACGCGTGCCAGCCGTGCCGTCAGTCTCTTCGGTATGGTAGTCTTCATCTTCGGCCTGTGGCTCACATCCCGCAATCGCAAGAAGATCATCTGGCACACTGTCATCGTCGGCATGCTGTCACAGTTCATCATCGCACTGTTTGTGCTCCGCTCCGGCGCAGGTTATGACATCTTCAACTTCATCTCCGAGCTGGCTCGTGACCTCCTCGGATTCGCCATTGAAGGTGTAACCTTCCTGACCAGCGATGACTTCTACAAGCTCGAAAAACCCTTCGCTCCTGCAAACTTCTTCCTCATCAGCGTCATCCCCGCCATCATCTTCTTCGTCTCCATTGTCCAGCTCTTATACTACACCAGCGTGCTGCAATGGTTCATCGGCAAATTCGCCGTCTTCTTCTTCTGGAGCATGCGCGTCTCCGGCGCCGAAGCCGTCGTTGCAGCCGCATCACCTTTCATCGGACAAGGCGAATCAGCCATGCTAATCCGTCCCTTCATCCCTCACCTCACAATGGCCGAACTCCACCAAGTCATGTGCTCCGGCTTCGCAACAATCGCTGGAAGTGTCCTCATCGCCTACATCAGCATGGGCGTTAACCCCCAGGCACTGGTGAGTTCCTGCGTCATGAGTATCCCAGCCTCCCTGGCAGTCTCGAAGCTGCGCTGGCCCGAAGAAGAAGAAACACTCACAGCCGGTCGTGTCGTCGTCCCCGATAACGAAGAACACCGCTCCTCAAACGCCCTGCACGCTTTCTCCAGCGGTGCCTGGCTTGGTCTGAAAATCGCCGCTATGATCGGGGCCACCCTGCTCTGTATCATCTCCCTCGTCGGTCTGGTTAACGGCCTCCTCACTTGGTGGGGCAGGTATCTAAATATCAACGATCCCCCTCTGACCCTGGAATTGATCGTCGGATACATCTGTTACCCGATTGCTTTCTTACTCGGTGTTTCCCGTAACGGCGATCTACTGAAGGTTGGCCAGCTAATCGGTCTCAAGCTCGTTACTGTGTGTCCTTCCCCATCCCCAGCATCCTTTTTCAATAATCTAACCAAATCTCTAGAACGAATTTGTCGCCTACAATGCTCTCCAAACCTCAGCAGACTACGCCGACCTCTCAGACCGCTCCCGTCTCATCGCCACCTACGCTCTCTGTGGTTTCGCCAATATTGGATCCCTGGGTAACCAGATCGGTGTGCTGTCGCAGATCGCGCCTTCTCGTGGTGGTGATGTGTCGCGTGTTGCGTTCAGTGCTATGATTACTGGTGCTATTAGTACTTTTACTAGTGCTACTATTGCTGGTCTGCTTATCACTAATGAGAAGCAGTATTTCAGTTCTTGATTGGCTGGATTTTAATTGGCTAGGTGTGGACCTTGTATTTAATGTTGGATATTGACATTATTGTTTTGAATATATTTTCGGCTTTTATGTATTATAGCTGGCGTGTCATTGCCGCTACATTTGAGGTTGAGAATGGATATCTACAACAGTTGATACATATACTAGTTAGGCTCCAACAGTTTAATAGAACTTTGATTGATTGATTGAACTCAATTCAACAATACACTACACTAAACCTAAAAAATCTAGGACAAGAGGCAAACCTCCAAGCCAAAAAAGCAAGATGCAAAACCACCCAGAAGTTCAATTCACGGGTAACAAGAACATGCCACGCCTGTACTTGAATGCGTGAAACTCCCATCGAATAAAGAATAAGAAAAAAACAACCAGCGAACAAAACTCCCAGGCCCATGGATGTGACCGTTATGCATGTGCAGCACGTTCCCAAACCCCCAACTGAGTAGGCATTTGGACCAACCGACGCCAATGCAAAATGAAAACGAAAGGACATGCAATGTAATGTTCAATCTATTCCTCGTCCAAATCACGGTGGCGGGCCAGCACGTGACGCTTGAATTCTTCCTGGTCTGAGTCCCAGAGTTCGGCGGCTTGGGCGTTCAAGGGACTCGCGCTGTGGTTTGTTAGTACTGTATGTTTATTGCATTGGATTACTAGGAGAGGGGTGGTGGGGTTATGTGCATACTTGTTAGGTTCACCCAGGAGACTCTGCAAGCTAAGAAGCACGCTCTGGACATTGTAGACGGCACTCCACTTGTCCTTGAGGATGTCGAGGCAGATACGGCCCGAGAAGTCGAAGTTGGGGTGGTAGATTGGGGTCTTGAAGAGGACAGTTGGGGGCGAGTAGGGATAGTTATTAGGAAAAGCGAAGGAGAGCTTGAGGGTGAGGCCCTCGTAGGGTGTCTCGGTCGGGCCGATGATTGTTGCTGTCCACGAGAGGAGGTTGCCGTCTGCGTCCGGAAAGGCGGAGATGCCGGGGGATGGGGAGAGCATGAGCTGCATCAGTTCGGCTTGGAGTCTGTACGGATGAAAGAGAGCTTGTCAATTTCTTGTTTTCAAAAAGGGAGATGCCTTGTGGGCTATTTGAGGGTGTTTGCGCGGGGGAAACGAACCGCTTGGTGACGCTCTGCGTGTCGCTTCTTTGCGCAGTAGTGCTGAGCTTAGATGCTTCCAGCGCGTCGGGCGCTGAGTTCTGCGTGTCCTCCATGCTGTAGTCCATGTTGAAAGATGAGAGTCTCAAGGGTTGGAGTGGTGTTAAGGTGGACTGTGGAATGCTGGTGTAGCGAGGTTGGAATGACGCCGGATCCGTCAAGTGATCCGCTGAGAACGTCTGATGCGAGAAACCGAGAAACTGAGCAACCGAGAGACCGTGAAGGTTATGCTCGGAAGTTGAGGAGTGTTCAAGTAAGTGGCCAAGTCCAAGTGTAAAGGAAAGAAGTCAAAGAAAAGTCCGAGTGGATTTGTTTACTGCTAAGCGCCCCGGGCAACGAGACCCCGCTACGAACTTCGTTAGCACAATATAATTTCATGGCCTCCAGGGCAACATACGAGCCCTAATCTAACGAGGTAAGATACATCGGTTCAAAGCGTTAAATCTGGATATAATACTGATTTTCAAGTGGTCTCGAGGCAGGAAATGCAGGCCGATCTGGCAGACTTAGTGCGATCGGAGTCAATGCGGGTCTGTGCAGTTTCAAATCTATAAGAACTAAATGATGCAGATAGAAATAGGCCAAGATATATCATATAGCATAGATGCTAGACATGAATCTTTACACATATCTAGCGTCACTGATGTGGTCTGCCTAGTCAACACACTTCCCGTTCAGGATAAAGTGGCCCGCGTATCCCGCGTCTCCCTCGCGTTCAGCCTCATCCCTGCTTCAACCACTCACGATGCCCTTTTAGTCTCTAATATCCCCTGTCTGATTTTAACGTAAGCTCGTGGTGAGCTTCCCAACTCCACAATGCAGCATTCGCAGCTTGCCCCGCTCCCAGACGACGTGCCGTTTCGCATCGTGTCCAAGACCATCGGCCAAGGTGCCTATGCCTGGTAAGGCAGTATCCTATCTTCGCCCAAAGCCAGATCTAACGTAACGTGTCTTGAACTCTCATAGTATCAAGAAAGCCTGCCCACTCGATTCAGATAACCCCGTCTTCGCAGTCAAGTACATCCACAAAGATTATGCCGCACGCCACGGGAAGATCAGCGCAAGACAACTCCAATTGGAGGTGACGGTACACAAACATGTCTCGGGCCATAGGAATATCATCAGTTTCTACCAGACAGGCGAAGACAGCGTGTGGCGTTGGATCGCCATGGAGTTGGCTGAAGGCGGGGATCTCTTCGATAAGATCGAGGCCGACGAAGGTGTGGGCGAGGACATTGCCCATGTCTATTTCTCCCAACTCGTCAGTGCCGTGAGCTTCATGCACTCCAAGGGCGTGGGGCACCGCGATATCAAGCCCGAGAACATGCTGTTGACTGGGGATGGGAACCTGAAGATTGCGGATTTTGGTTTGGCCGCGCTGTTCGAGTACAAGGGGACGCGGAAGCTCTCTACCACGTTCTGTGGGAGTCCTCCGTATATTGCACCTGAGGTCATTACCAGCAGTACCCGGGGTCCTAACAAGGGAGCTGGATATCATCCCGACCTGGTAGACATTTGGTCTTGCGGGATTGTGCTCTTCGTCCTCTTGGCGGGCAATACGCCATGGGACAGTCCTACAGACGATAGCTTCGAGTTTCACGAATATGTAGCGACAAATTCACGAACAACCGATGAGCTTTGGCAGAAGTTGCCACCAGCCACGTTATCACTGCTACGTGGCATGTTGACAGTTGATCCCAAGAGTCGATTCTCGCTGGAGGATGTGCGGAGACATCCCTGGTACACGCGTGCGAACAAGTTTCTTTCCGCTGATGGCAAGCTGAGGGATCCCATCAATCTTGCTACATCCATGTTCGAGTCGCTTCATATCGATTTCAGCCAGGACCCCCTGTCCCAACCGAGGAAAGGAGCTAGTCGCAGCTTTGACCAGATGGATATGGATGTTGACGACAGTGCAAACGCGGGAGGATTGTCCTCAACGCAGCCGGAGATGCTGGGCGGTGGTATGTTGATGGACTGGGACAACCCACAGGAATCCGATGTCTTCTCTTCAACCCAGCCTACTGGGAAACTATTCGCCTCCCAGGATGCAGTTATGGCAGGCCATCTCGAGGACGAGCCGTCCATGTCACAGTTCTCACAGCAGCCTTCAGTGCCAGTGAGCCGCACCCAAAACGCACAGAAGTTCCAGGATATTGTTCCCTCACGCCCAATGACCCGTTTCTACTCTGCTTGGGAGCTCAAGCTTCTCGTACCTCTCATTTGTGAGGCACTTCATCGACTCGGAGTCCCAGTGCCAAGTGTCCCTGCTGTGACTGCGGGAGACAGTTCTGCCATGATTCGGGTGATTGCCAAGGATGGCAGGATGTGTCCGCTGCAGGGCAAGGTACTCATTGAGTGTGTCTCAGAGGGCGTGTTCGAGGTTGAGTTCATCAAAATCAAAGGCGATCCGCTTGAATGGCGACGTTTCTTCAAAAAGGTGGCCATTCTCTGCAAAGAGGCTGTCTTCCGACCAGACGAGTAGCAGTGTTGCATGCCATATACTGTCATCTTCCTTTTTTGTTCTTCTATCTCCCCTTTTTTTGTGGATTTACTTTTACGCTTAATGTACGAATTATGACTGATTGATGGCGGGAAGATTGGGCCAGGCTGGAGTTTGGCTGTGGGAAAGGAACACCTCATATCATTCGCATCTTTTTATGTTTAATGTGCACATAGCTTGAATCATAACTTAGATGTGGTCTTACATTTGAGTTGCGGCTAGAACCAATAGTTCGATCCGGAGTTGAGCAAGAGCTTAAATCTAGTTGCAACGTCCAGTTGTTTACTTTCATTGTTTTCGAAACCAGTGGACCTGTCCGATAAGTCTCCCGAGCTTACTCTTCTCATGTCTCAGATCCCAAAACGTCATTAGCCTATCACTCCCATCTCTACATGTATACTCCGTACTCAAGCCCAATCCACGTGACGGTCTGGACTCGCAGATCATCGCGGGGGCAAACCCGACCAGAACCTCATCAAAGGACCTCACCCCTATCCCCAATGCAGTTGTCCCCTCGGCATGGATAAGCTGCCGGTAGAGATTCTATCCAAAATCATCGACCGTAGGCACCTCCCCCGAACTTCCCCGGCCAAGAGCTGATCGGAAAATCAGTCCTCACCCCGCGAGAGAAGGTCCAGCTCCAATCCATCAATAAGAAATTCTTTAACCTCGCCCGCGATAATAGTCAATGGCGACTGCACTGTTATGACCAGTCTTTGGCTGCCCGCCAGGCTTCCCGCCCGGCCCGCATATCCGAGAGTCCTCTTTCCGATACGACGGCGTCGCTGACCAACTTGGGCCAGGACTCGCTGCGTGAATTGATCCAGCCTTCTGTGTCTGGTTCTTATGCAGACTTTGAGGATCGGGAATTGTCTTGGGGGGAGAGGGCCCGGGCGGCGACTGATTGGGACTCTTCTGCGAGGGGGGAGCACGTTGATTGGTATTCGGAGTATATTGCTCGTCAGGGTCCTATTTCGTTGACATGGACTCAACAGCCGTCGGTCCGTCAGGACAACGGGAAGAATGGGCAAGCCTCTGAGGTTAAGGGCATGGGCCTGCTTAAGGATTGGAGTTCGGCGAGACAGAATAAAATCGTCGCTCCGCTTGAGGATGGCAGTGTCTGCATTTGGGATTTGAATCATTCGCATTCTGCTGACTCGCAGGCAAAAAAGGGCAAGATCCTTGGGATTAGTGAGCCGGGATTGCTTATGAAAAACCTGTCTGGGCGCCGTGATCATTCTCCTTCTAAGTCTTCGTTGGACTTTATCAACCTGGGTGAAGGCGTTAGTGTGGACTCGCTACGGCAACGCGCATACCTTGCAATTGGAAATATCCTCAATGAAGTCGACTTAGAGACATTGAGAGTAGTCTCTCAGCAACGCTATCCATGGTCGATTTTCGCCCTTTCACAGGAAACAGATTACTCCGTGCCTCTGACACTAGCCACAACGCTGAGCCTGCAAATATACGACGCCAGACTATCCGCCGTCGAGGAAGAAGAAGCAATCAGCTCGCGGTGTGAAAAGGTTCTTGGCCCAACTGCCTCGGATTCGGGCATTTTTGCTCGCTCCGATTTGCCCTTATTCAAACTCCAACCCAATGGGCAGCCACCCAGACGCATTCGCAGTCCGGAACCATCAGAACCAGGAGCCAACTATGCTCCCCTCTTCCAGCCAGGTCCTCTTTCTATCCTGCACCCGCCAGCTCCTCATGTAAACACCATCCTCCTCGCAGGCCGCTTCCCCAGCATATTATGCTACGACCGCCGTTTCTTCCCACGGTTACAAACCACCGTCCATTCCGGAGGTCGATTATGTGGTCTGGCCTCTGTCCCAGCGCCCCGGTTCCCTGTCTTCTCAGATACCACTTATCCAGAATCCCACTCCGTCGTAGCATGTGGCGAATATAATGGCCGAGGCTCATTAGAGCTATACAGCCTGAAGTCAGAATCAGAAAAGGACTACAGACCCTCGAACATGACGTCGAACCTCAATTCAGAGTACAAAAACCGACAGAGCGCCGCCAGTTCCAAATTGCTTTCTGTTGGCTCCCACGGAAATCGTATCGTCTTCTCCGACGCTGAGGGCAATATCAAATGGACTGAGCGAGACGGTCGTTCAGAGGTCCGACGTTGGAATATCAATACTTCCCCCCTTCAGATTCCATTCAGTCGTCGCAGTCGACAGCCAGCATCTGGACAAAATGATCACGACGATGAGCCTCGTGGTCTCTGGCCGGGCTCCCACTCTCCAGGCAATAATGAGGTCGCCCGAAAGGTTCTACCCACGGGTGGTAATCTCACTGGGGATGAACTCCTCATATGGACCGGCGAGCGTATTGGTCGGCTTAAATTCTCAATCCCTGCGAATTATGAGATGGAACTTGATGACGGCTATGAGTCTGAGGACGATGTGTTTATGCATGCTGAAGTCGATGAGGCTACTCGCGAGGCTATGCGGAATAAGCGTCGTGATGACTGGGAAAAAGAACAGAGGTATGAGGATACTATGCGGCGTGCCCTCGAGAGACAGGCGGATGAGGTGCGCTGGATGGGTAGTCGGGGGTTGGGGCTGAGTTGATACACTTTCATTTGATTTGTTCTAATACCCTAAAATCTGATTTTCCTCTTTTCTGTCCGGTTTAATCCTATCTTGTAAGCTGGATCACCTATAGTGGCTCTAAATTTTAAAACACCGGCGACCTAGACCGTCAATTCCTGTAGGCTAGATATGTATTGCGGGCATATAATGAAACAAACCATTAATACTACACAGTAAAAAGTTAATTGCCCGAAGTCGAAGCCCGAAAAGACACCAAGTAGGGCTTTATAGACCTCGGAGGAAGAATTTCCCTATTTGGTCCCGAGGCTTAACAATCCGTCGGGTCCGGCTCCCCGCGCATCACGAGCATTTCTAGTGCGCTTGTCAGCCGGTGACTCAGGTTCTTCGCGATTCTTCTTTTTCTTTCACACGTTGCATCTTGCTTTCTTTCCAGTTCTCACCTTTCACTTTGTATAATCTTTGTACCTTCCCTTCGGTACTACCTACGCACCTTGCAATTGCGCAGTGAGGGGCAAAAGTGCCAATCCATACTCCGATCACAATGCCTTCCCCCGCGGACATCGCACACCAATTCGACTCAATTGAGGACACAATTGCAGCCTTTAGTGAGTCCTCCTTATACTTGGACATTTTCCCTATCGCGGTCTTAATCCGCTCGCGAGGCACTCCAACAGATAACTGACTGTGACGCATATAGAGAATGGAGAATTCATCATTGTCCTTGATTCGCAAGATCGCGAGAATGAAGGCGACCTGATAATCGCCGCTGAGTCCATCACAGCCGCGCAAATGGCCTTCCTGGTCCGTTATACGAGGTAAGAGCGCCCCCCACCACCGGAATTTGCATGAAATGCCTACACAATATATCCTCTCCCACTTATCTCCAACCCCGCAATGGCACATAATCACTACAAGTGAAATACTTTAAACAAACCAGATCAAACGAACTGACTCTGGTAGTGGTTTAATATGCGCCCCGATCACCCCGGACCTCGCCACCCGCCTCGCCCTCCCACAAATGGTAGCCGAAAATGCCGACCCCAAGTGCACAGCCTATACAATCACAATCGACTCCAGCGACGACTCGGTAACAACAGGAATCTCCGCCGAAGACCGCGCACTGACATGCCGAACGCTGGCCTCGCCCACTGCGCAAATCGACTCTTTCCGCCGGCCGGGCCATATCATCCCGCTACAGGCGCGTCCTGGTGGTGTACTCGAGCGGACGGGTCACACCGAGGCTGCGGTGGACTTCTGCAAGCTGGCTGGGAAGGCGCCGGCTGGTGTGATTGCGGAGCTGGTTGAGGATGGGGAGGTTGTTGAGGGGGTTCCTGAGGTTTCGGGGAATAATGGCATGATGCGAAGGGATGGGTGTTTGCGGTTTGGTAAGAAGTGGGGGATTAAGGTGTGTACTATTGAGGATTTGGTGCACTACTTGGAGAAGACTGAAGGGTCTGGTGTTGCCAATGGGAAGCATTGAGGGTTTGGTTCTTTTCTATTCATTTGTCCTAGGTTTGCTTGTCATTTAGGGGCCTTTGCTTTTGGAGCTTTGTGTGTTTTTGGGTACCTTGTACATCACTACGCCTTCTCCTTGATACCTTTTCGATGAAATGAATGCATATAAATAGAGTCGTGGTGTATGTGACAACGTAGATTGTGGACTGGACAGTGGCTGATCGCAGAAAGGGCATTGCTAGTTTATTTGGGTATCTATCATTTTCGGCGTGTAATGTACAAAGGGCAAATGCCAGATCAGAAGTGTAAATGTCAAAGCCGAGTTCCCATGCGGTGACGGCAGTCACGCACGCTCTCTTCAAACGCCAATGCAATGCAATAAAGAGCCCACCTTGATCAGGTCTCAGGTTTCACTGGAGCAGGGGAGCAAACGAGCCAGGCGAGGGCCCTGCAGCTTTCTGGGCTAGGTCCACTACCGCTTGAGGTGCGAATAGTCCCTGAGAATGCCCATCATGTGAGTGTTGGTCGTCTTGCCGCTGCGCCGTGGCTTCTTGACCTTCTTATTTGGCGCTGCGACTCGAGGCCCGACTACCTTGTTTTTGTTGGTGGGCGTAATGCCTGCCTTTTCGAGTTCCTCCTTGACCGCTGGCGCATCCGGAACCCTGATCTTGTACCAGATTTCTTTGAACTCATCGTCGAAGTGCTCGATCAGCGATGGATCGTTAGCCCAGACCATCTTGGGATGATCGTCCTTCTTGTTGCGAGTCACGAGTAATTTCCCTTGTTTCTCCAATTGGTTGATTTCCTCCTCGACGGTTGGCCATCCCTCCTTGAGCTCCCGGACACTCATTCCGGCGGCAGTGGATTGAGACTGAAGTTTCTGGAGCAGTTGCTCGGCATTTCGAATGTTGTGGAGAGGGCGGAACCTGAATGTGCCTTCGCCGTTTGCGCCGCTGGGGTCAAATTCAACCTTTTCGTGGTTCTGGAGAATGCGTCGAAGAGCCTGAACGTAGCCTTGGTCGTGTGCACGGTGCTGAAGAGAGAGATATGATACGATATCACCAAACTTGAGGGGGGTATTCTTGGACTTCATATGCTCGATCGCAAACAACACCTGCGTCATAATATCTTTGCCCGTGCCGGTGTTCGCTGGCTGAGAGTAGACGATGTCTGCATCGTGACGCTTCTTTTTAACCTCACTAGAGGACGAGGGGGTCGGCGCAGACGATGGGACCTGGGAGCTGCCGCCGGAGGCTGGCTGGTTATTGACCACACGTCTCTGCTGAGGCATCCGGTTCGCCGACTCCATCACACTGGCGTTGAAGTTCTTCAACTGGTTCTGAAGGTACGACATGGTTGCGACAACGGATCGAGGATCAGTGAGGCCGTGGAGATGAATGAAAGGAAGCTTGGTTGACAACCGGTTATTGCCTCGGGTTGACCTAGATCAAGGTCGAGGATTCAAAGAAAGCTCAGCATAGGAAAATGCCTGTGGATGATGCCTAAAGGGGAAAAAAGACAATGAGCCACAGGGTTAGAAGAAGGCGCAGATAACCCTGTTAGACTAGAAGCAAGTGGAAGTCATGGACAGATGAGGCAGACAAAGAAGGTCACATGACCCGGCAGCGCTAAACCTCCTTTGACGAACGCAACCAAAGCGCGGAACTGGACGCCCTTGGCCCATCTCCTCTCACTCCACCTTTTCATTCAATTCTTTTTACTTCCCAACCGTGCGATCCAACTTTCCTTTCTGGATCGTCATGACCTGAAGCTTCCTGCAAAGCGCCGTGTGTACTCGTCTCTGAACAGTACACAGCGCGTCCACCCTCGGAGGCTCAGCTTTAGCTTGCACCGCGTCTTCGTCTTCTTGATTTCGCCGCCACAACAGCTTATTGCTGTTGATACTTCGATACCATGGCTGACATCGCCGTCCAATTACCATATTTGTCATCTCACTTTTCGGTTCCTGAAACCACGCTTACGAGCTTGACACAGGCCCCAACGGTGGAGCTTGTCAATCAGCTTTTGCAGTCCCTCACCAAAACGGCCCATGAGTATGACGAGCTCAAGTCCGACAAGCGTCGCTTGGAGGTAGAGCTTGAAGCTGCTGTACGCAGCAACGAGTCTAAGGTCAAGGCTCTCAAATCCAATGTGGACAAGGAACACAAAGAAGTCGAGGAGCTTCGCAAGAAATTGCATGAATCTGGTATGAATCCCTTCTCTCTGTCCCTGGAGAGCTCTATGTTGACTTATAGCAGAAACCACCCGCGCTTCACTGGAAAAGGAAATCTCGACATTAAGATCTTCATCCACATCAAACGAATCCGACATTACGTCCTTGAAATCTCGCATCTCAACCCTTGAGACCTCGAACAGAGACACGCTTGCCTTACTTGAATCCAAGTCCACGGCCTATGACGAATTGGCGCAGGAGCTTTCGGTTCAACACGAGAAGACCACCGACCTGCGACGCTTACTCTCAAAGGCCGAGCAAAATGTCCAGGATGCAAGCTCGGAGTCTGCTCGTGCACGTTTCCGCGAACAAAATCTTCAACAAGAATTAGATCTCACCAACAAGAACAACGAATGGTTTGAGAATGAATTGAAGACGAAATCAGCCGAGTACATCAACTTCCGCAAGGAAAAAACTGCTCGGATCTCGGCGCTTCAACATGAAAATGAAGAGGCAAACTCGACCATTGACCAGCTGAGACGCAGCGAGAACTCACTCAAGAGTCGTCTGGATGAAACGGAGCAGCGGTACGAGGAGTCTCTGGCTACCATCCAAAAGTTAGAGGAAGAAGCCATCCAAGCAACCGAATCTTTCCGCATCGAGCTCGATAGCTCCAATCGACTTGCCGAGTTGCAAGGATCTGCTGCGCAGATGGCCAAACAACGGGCACAAGAGTGCCAACTCGCCTTAGAGAAAGCGAAACATGACGCGGCGCAAGAAATTTCACGCCTGCGTGTGGAGCTTGAGACCGAGACGAGCGAGAAGAATACTGCCGCGTCTCGCATTGCTGAGCTTGAGGAGGTGATGGCGCAGATCGAGTCTGAGACAGCCAGAGGTAGATCTGCAAGCCCTGCTCGTTCTCTAAATGGAGCCGGACCAAGCACCCCGATGCGTTCCAGTACCATGCGATTTGGCACTCCTGGAAGTACATTCTCACCGCGCGCCTCCCGTGGCAAGGGTGGTTTGACAGTCACCCAAATGTATGCTGAATACGACAAGATGCGAGCTGCCTTGGCTGCAGCGGAGAGAAATAACCAGGAATACCGAAGCACTATCGACGAGATGGTGTTGGAGCTGGATTCGACTAGCCCTGACATCGCGCAAAAGGACGCAGAAATCAACCGTCTCAACCAGGCTGTGTTGGATATGTCCAGTCTGAATGACACAGCCAACAAAGAACGGGATCATTCATTGAAAGAGGCACGGAAGTGGCAGGGCCAGGTCGAAGGCTTGGCCCGTGATGGCGATATCCTTCGCCGTCAGCTTCGGGATCTGGGTTCTGAAGTCAAGGTTCTTCTCTTGGAAGTTGCTCTTTTACAAAAGGGCGAAGAATACGATCGCGAGGAGCTTGAGAGAATCGCACGTGGTCATGTCGAAGAATCTGATGCGGATCTCAACGCCACTGGACGCTTTATCAGCCAAAACCTGACAACTTTCAAGAATCTCCACGAACTTCAAGCGCAAAACGTCAAGCTTCGGCAAATGTTGAGAGACCTCGGTGACAGACTGGAAGGCGAAGAGGCCCGTGAGAAGGAGGCCGCGAGACTAAACGAAATCGATGAACTCAAGGAACTCCGGGTCCGAGCCCAGACAAACTCAGATGAGATTGCCAACCTCACTGCGCAAATGCAAAGTTACGTCAAGGAGCGAGACACCTTCCGCAGCATGCTCATGCACAGAAAGCAGAACATCACCGAACAGTCTGTGTTTTCGCAGTCCATGCCGCTCGGTGGTTCTCCCGGCGCTGGTGAACTCCTAGGACAAGACAATGCTGAGATGCTCAGCAAGGTCCAAGCTCAATTCGATGCCTACCGCGAGGACACCAACGCAGAGCATACTAAACTCCGTCAGCAGGTCAATGAACTTGCTCACGAGAAGAGTAAGCTCCTGTCCGAGATCACTCGTCTCAATGGCGCAATCACTGCCTCCTCGCGCCGCGAAGAGCTACTTCGAAATGAAATGAACATGCACCAAAGCGAAAAAGCTATATTACAGGAGCGCAATTCTCAACTCTCTGAAAACGCCATACGCCAAGGAAACCAACTTCGTGAAGCTGCTGAGAATCTTATTGTTGCCGACGGTAAACAAGAGGAACTTCAGAAACAGTACGCACAACTGAAAGCGGAGAAGGACCGTTTGGAAATGGCTGAGAAGAGGTACAAAGATGAGGTGGAAACTCTCTGGGCTCAGAAGGATGCTTTGCAATCATCGAACACAGAGCTTCAGATTCACATTGCGGAACTCAAACAAACTGAACAACGATTGGAAGCCCTCGAATCCAAGCTCAAAGACACAAAACTCAAACTCAAAAACAAGGAGGAAGAGTTGGAGAAGCACGCTCTGCGCCGGGATGGTGAACATGAACAATCTCAGAAGCAAATTAACGACCTGATGACTAGCTTGAGTTCAGTCCGCGAACAGCTTGTTGCCACGAAGACAACCCGGGATCACCTACAAGCCCGCGTGAATGAACTCACTGCCGAGCTGAAGAGTGCCGAAGAGCGCGCGCGAGTCTTGCCGTCGCAGCCTAGTGTTTCTGCCGGCCTCGCCGAGACCCCCGTTGTGGTCCAAGAACCTGGCGAAGGCAGTGACCTGACTCCGGAAGAGGAGCTTTCTCTTCAAGTTTCTAAGCTCAAGCGTGAACTAAATTCAGCAAACGCTGAACTTGTTCACGCCAACCAATTGGCTCAAGATTACCAGGCCATCAGCCAAGATACGGAAGAACGCCTAGAGTCTGTCACCGAGACACAGGAGCAGTACCGCCAAGAGACGGATGCCCTTATCAAGGAAAAAGACGAGATGATTCAGGACCTCAAAAATCGAATCGATGAAATCTCGGCTGAACTGACAAACGCCAACTCTGAGATTTCTCAGCTCAAAGAAAAGCAAAGCGAGGCCAGTCGTCACCTAGAAGAACGCGAGGCGCATTTCGAATCGGAGATCACTCGCCTCAACCAGGTTATTGAAGGCCATGTTGCTGCAGCACAATGCCACGAAGAGGATATGAAGGCACAAGCAGAAATCTCCGACCTTGCCCAGCGTAATTACGACCAGGCCCAGCAAAAGTACGAAAGGGAATTCGTCGAACATGCCGATGCCGTTCGAAGCCTCCAAGCAGTTCGTGACGAGGCCAATGATTTGAAGGTTCAGATCGTCACACTGAAAACGCAAACCGAAACCTACAAGAATGACCTCGTTCAAAAGGAGGAGAGCTGGAAGGAGCAACAAGCCAAGCACGAGGTCGATATTAATGAGCTGAAAAAGCGCCGAGAAGAGATGCAGAAAGAGAACACCCACCTCTACACGCTTCTTGAGAACCACAAGAGCCAGAACTTGGCATTGCGGCGCCGGGTCGAAGGTTTGGATGAACTGCCGGAGGGTGACCAGGTAACTCCCGATACCGAAACTGAAGAAGCCATCATCGCTTCCTTGCAAAACCGGCTGTCGATTGTTCAGACCGAATCCGACTGTACGAGCTTTGCAAAAGCCCGACTCGAAAAGGAGCTCCGCGGGGTGAATTCTAAGTTCCTTGCGCTGCAGTCTTCATATGATGTGGCACGCGAGGATCTCGAAAAGTTCCGCCGCGAAGCTGAAAGTCAGGCTCAAGAGGCGAATGACAAGCGTCAAAGAAGTATCGATGAGCTCAAAGAGTCCTGCGACAAAACCACCCTCCTCTTCCAAGATCAACTCAAGGAAAAGGAAACCGCACTTCAGCAAAAGTCAGCTCAGGTGGTTGAACTTTCCACGCAAATCGCACGCCATGAGTCCAGAATTTGCGAGTTGGAGGACGAGGCCGAGGCCAAGAATAGAGAACTGCAATTGCTGCAGGAAAACCGCGATCACTATGCAGAACTCGTTCAGAACAACTCCAACGGCGAGCTGGAGAAAACGCTCACCACCCTTGAGAACGAGAGAAACGCGGCTGTATCTGAACGAGATGCGCTTATGGCCGAACGAACTGGCCTTCAGGCCCAGATCACGGAGGCCGAGGATAAATTGAAGAAGGCCGAGGAGCAGTGGAAGAGCAGACGAAACGATCTCATAGAGCAGGCCAAGGCACGTTCGAAGGATCAAACGTCTCGTATCAACAACATCTCAGCCGACCTCAAAACGGCCTTGGAGGACAAGGAAGTCATTCAACAAGAACTGCAGATCACCAAGGCGGAATTGGAGACACTGAAGGCCGAAGTTGCCAAGATGCCCGTCGCGTCACCCGCACCCGCGCCCGCTGCAGCAGCAACACCTGCTGCTGCCGCTGTCAACCCCACCCCAGCTTCCCAATTCCCAACTGCTACAGTCTCAGTTTCCGTGCCTGGCGGCGACCAACGGGTCCAGGCCCTCGAACAGAAGATCCAAAGCCTCGAGCAGAAGATCCAACGCCTCGAAGCTGCCCTTGCCGAGAAGGAACGCGAGCACGATGCCAAGATCAAACAATACATCACTCAGCTGGCTGAAGCCAAAGCCGCTCATCGCCAGGAGGTTGAGAAGCTTTCTGCCAGTGGACAGTCTGCTCCCGGTACGGCAGGTGGCATTACTGATCAAGCACCAGCAACGCCCTCGAAGCCAGAGGAAGATTTTGCAGATCGTTTGGCCAAACTGGGCGAGGCTGAAGCCTTACAGATCTGTAAAACGAACAAACCCATTAAAGATGTTATTGTCAAGTTCCTCCGCAACAAAGTTGAACAGAAGGACAAGGAACACGCACAAAAACTTGAACAGAATGATCAAGAATACAACCAAAAACTTGCAAGGAAAGATAATGAAATCAAGTTGGCCGGGCAGAAGCCACTCGTGCAAATAAGCATGCTTGAGAAAAGACTCAACAATGCGAATGCCAAGATCGACGTTATGAAAAAGGCTGCCACAGAAACCCCAGAAAAAGCTGTGGCTAAAGTCTGGGAGGACGCACAGAAAGCCCAGCCTGCACCCGCTGCAAAACCAGCGGCAGCAACCACGTCCTCAACCCAACCTGCCTCTTCAGCATCAACACCGGTCCAGCAAGCACCGGTGGTTCCTTCTTCGGCTGCCTCTGTCCCTGTCCCTGCGGCACCGGCTCCAGCTGCCACCCCAGCTCCTCCAGTTCAAGTTTCCCCTAGCCCTGCATCCGAACAGGGACAAGCACAGCCTGCCCCGAATCCCCCTACCCAGCTTGGTCAACCGCAAGCGGAGCAGAACCATCAACCTTCTAATCTGCCGAACAAACCTCCTGCCGGTAACCCACCGGGGTTGATGCGCGCCCTGCAATCAGGACTTCCAATTGCCAGAGGTGGACGTGGGGGCCGTGGCGGTGGTCAGCAATTTGGCCACGCTCAACAAAATGACCAGCAAGGTCAAAACCAGGCTCAGGTCCAACGTGGTGGGGGTGCTCAGCGAGGCAGAGGCGGCCGTGGAGGGCAAGGTCGTGGTGGCAACCAAAACACCAACGCCCAATCCCAAAACCAAAACCAAACCGCCAATGCCAACCGCGGGAACCTAAACGCCTCCGCTCGCCAGTTCATTCCGCAGGGCAACAAGCGCTCTCGTGAGGAAGGCTCTGACAATGCCAACGAGGCTGCAAACGCCGGAAAGAGACAGAGAGGTGGCGGTGGACAACAGCCTCGCGGTGGGGGCTCATCTTGAACAAATCCTTCACGTTTCTTTTTTGTATTTCCAGTTTTACCTCATCTTTTCTGATCATTGCGGCATGAGCGCAGGGTTTCCTGCGCTTCTCATAGTCGGTCTTGCGATGCAAAGAGCATAATTATTCCTTTGTCATGTATCTACTCCAGTGTATGGCGGCGTTTGTCGGTTTCTATTTTCAATTCTGTTTTCAAGAAACAAAATAAATTATTGTAGACAGCCACAGGTGTGATAAATATAAAGTAACAGGGGTATCATTTGCTCGAAGACAAATCTACTAAACGAAATCTCAAGACTCAAAAACACCCAGATAATAATCACTTTTTCTTCCCCCCAGCAGCAGGAACAAGCATCCTCCCCAGGACCTCCCTCTCTTTCTGCAAAACCATCAACCTCGCATCCTCAATAACCCTCCCCTCCGGCGCAGGAGCAGGAAGAGGCGCTTGCGAAATCTGCGCCGCACCAACAACAGCGGGGCTCATGGCTTTCGCGCCACGCGCTCTCTTCCTCCGCTGCCCAGGCCCGGAACCCCAGACTACAACCCATTCACCGACAGGACCACTAGCAGCAATCTCAACGCCCGAACACACCTTCGAGTGAGACCCAATATCGGCACCACGGCGGATTATCGCGAGAGCTTCAATGCTAGCAGAAGAATGAACATGGGCACCCGGTTCGATGGTCGATAACGGGCCAACAGTAACGAAATATGAGATCCGCGTCGCGGCTTCTTTCTTTAAGTCCGTCCCTGTCCCAGATTCGGAGCTTGTTATGTTTGGATCTGCGGTCCTGGACGGCGACGGTGATCGACTCGATGGACTGGGCGCCGCTCCAATCACAGCTTTCTCGCAAATTATACAGCTGTCACCGATGTATATTGGTCCCTCGTAGGCGTAGAATCGCGCGCGCGGGTGCACCACTGTCCCTGCGCCGATGGTCACTGGGTATGTGCCCTGGAAGACGACGGTATCGGCAATTGTGGCGGTGGCATCGGCTTTTAGGGGGGCTTTTGGTGGACCAGAGCTGTGAGACGATGATGAGGAGCGGTGTGTATTTGTTGGCGGTTTGAGCGTTGCCATTGTGGTTGTTGTGGGGGAATTTGTGTTTCTGCGGAGAGATCATGATGCGACAGCTCCCAGGCGGATCATTTAGTCAGCTCTATCACCTACAACAATGGATGGCCACTTGGCTGGCAGCTCCTATAGTTTGCTCCTTTCTATCTATCGATGGAAAGAGGGCTCAGATGTCATATTATGTGAGATTGGTCAACTTTAGGTAACTAATCAATCTAGTTTACAGTCGATTCAAAGACAATATCGTGGCTATAAGGATCAGCGAAAAACCCCAGTGACAGAGACTCGATGCAAATTCGTACATATACATCGGTCTGCTGGGTCATGAAAATAATAAGCCCTGTGTATTAATACATTTCAGGCTGGGTATCTAAATCTAAACTCGATATCTATAAATGCAACGCTAACAATCCCGCAAGTATAGAGCCTCCAAAGAGAAAAGGACGGTCACTCATCCTCGACTGTCTTGTTCTTGATCCCATTCCTCTTCCTCCAAGCTTTCACTCCTCGATCAACCTCATCTCTTGTCATCCCATCCCTTACCAAGCAGAATGTAACCCCCAACTCTGTTTCCACATTCCGGTTCCGCGCCTCGTCATCAAAGAATAGCATATCCTCGTAAGCAATTCCACTCGTCTGATGGATCCGCGCAAAGTGCGATGTCTTATTCCCAGGGAATATTTGAATGTGATCGAAGTAATCCAGTGCGCGAATGGTTTTGGCGTTGGCGGCGGGGTTATCGGAGAAGGTGGGGATGACGTGCAGGGCTTTGAGCATGTCGCGTGCCAGATCAGGTGCGTGCGTCCGAGATGCCAGGGCTATTGGGATTGAACGGTGTTTACAGGCATAGATTATCGACGAGACTGCTGGGTAGAAAGCAAAAGATTCACCCCATCTGTTTGAAGCCAAATGTGGGGGGTTAGAAGTTGGTTCCTAGGTTGGGAAATCTCCTAAACATTGTGGCCAGGGATATCAGGCATACCGGTCCACGGTGCGTGAGTTGTTGTCTCGTGCTTTCACAGGGGCACTGACGTGCGTATCTACCCAGAAGGGCCAGAGAGTGTAGTCGAGGTCGAAGGCAATCAATTTCGGTAGTGGGAGGCCATCAGTGAAGGTCTCGGGCGCCACGGAGGCATCCTCCAGAGGGTGGGTATTTTGACGCTTTGCTCGAAGCATGGTGTGAGTGAAGAATTAAAGGTCGAAAGAAATGTTAAAGAATCAGGAGAGAGGTGAACCATGGAGTTGGGAGGGACGAGCCGGGGTTGAGGCTCGGGAAGCACGTGCCATGGCTTGCATATCAAAAGTTATATGAAACTTGATCGATTGTTTTTCCTCGAAAGACTTGACTTGAGGACTTAACAACTGCTTTAGGATCTCAGTTATTATATTCTCGGTTTAGATGTACGGTTTCCATTAATGCCATTAGGATGGTTGTTATGTTCTTAGGTATCTCTGAGCAGGGGCAGGTGTAAAGCATGTACGAGAAGAGAAAGAGAAAGATCACTCATGAGTGTCAAGATACAAAGCTGCCAATGGTGTATACGTCAAACACAGATCAAACTAGACACAATTGTCCAGTTAAGTACCCACATAATTTGCAAACGAGAAGAATGTTATTGATATCAAAAAATGAAAAACCAACTCCTTTAACCAGAATTGACGGACTGCGCCCATCACACTCTCGAAGCCTTCCCTTCAGTTTGAAGTATCCCGAAAACAAGTGGTATGGTCATGTTCGATTGAGAATCCGATTGGATGCGGGCTCCCTTGAATGGCAGGCGCACCTCACCCCGCTTGATTTCTTCTCCACGATGTTGGCGCTTCATGATGCAAAGACACGGACCTTGAGATCAACACTACCAGTCGCCAGAACGCATCGAATAGACATCTTGATCGCGTTGGGGTCTTCTTTTGCAACACTTGATTTGCCAGCCTCTGCGCCATTGGCATCCTCGGCCCCGGTGTCCTTGATTAACGGGGGTGCCCATCGAATCGAGCTGACGAAATGGTCGTGAGCAGCAATTGTGCGCACACACTTGCATTCTTGTGTAAGATCCCAACAGCGCAAGGTCTTGTCATCGGACACCGATAGAAGGTATTTTCCACCGGGATGGAAAACCAATGCACGAACCCAGTTATCGTGCCCAACAAGAGTTTTGATTAAATTTCCACGGGCATCCCAGAGACGAATGCTCTTGTCACGAGATCCTGTGGCCACGAACTCGGCAGACGACGATGCGGCCGGGGGCTTTTTCTGTCCCGCAAGAGGGGCGAGGTGGGGATAGCTCGTTGGTGGAGCGAAGGCAACACATTCGATAACATGCTCGTGGCCTAGGAATGTAGACTTTGTTTCACCGGAAGAAACATCCCACAGGCGAGGAACTTGGTCATCTCCCGCGGAGAAGAGGAAGCGACCATCGGGGGACGGCGCAACATCTCGAACCCAGGATGCGTGGCCCTGTAGGGTCTTGAGGCAGTACCCAGTTGTGACATCCCATATCCGTAGAGTATGATCACGAGACGCCGAGACGAGCAGGTTTCCTGACATGGGAGATCCTGCCGCTCCGGACGGAATGAAACGCACTGCTGATACGCTGTGGTCATGTCCTGGCAGGGTTCGGATATTCTTGTATTCGTCCGCTGGGTCCCACAGCTTGATCGTTAGATCCGAAGAACAGGACGCAAGAAGGGTTCCGCCGCGCGGTCCTCCATAGTCAACATCTAATACTGCCCTTGTATGTCCTTTGATGGTCCTCTCCAGCTCACCCAGCTCCCAGTCCCAAATCTTGATTGTGGTGTCTTCTGAACCGGACGCGAGGGAGGAAAATATGGGGTGAAAAGCGACACATGTGACTGGTGAGCGATGCGATTCGAGATCATGGCGCGCTGGGGCTCGCGGCAGCCAGGATGCTGGGTCTTGATTTCGTCGAGAGAGAGATGTGGGGGTTGCAGTGTCCAGCTCAGCCTGCAGTGAGGCGCATCGTGATTCTAAATCCATGATCTATACTAGAATGTATCATTAATAAACCAACGTTCTTGTCTTCAACGGTCTTCACACGCACCTTCTTCTGTAGGCGGACAACGCTAGTCCACTTCTTCTCCAGCAGGCCCTCATATTTCTTTAGTGTGCTGTCGTCCACTGTAATCGAGTCGCCGAGCTCTTCTCGTAGAGCAGCCGAGCTCTGAGGCAAGTTTGCAGATGCTAGATATGCGATGATACCTTTGTGCCTGTCGCAAGAAGCGAACATCAGCAATCAGAACCCCTAAATGAGCCGAGACGGGTCACCTGCAGCTCCTCCGCCTGGCGCGGAGTGAGAAACTGGCTCATAATTGCAGCGCCTGTATGTGTGTTCCAAGCAATTTGCGCCAATTTCCCCGCGCATGTATTGTAGGCGTTTTGAATTGGCGTGTTCGAATTCGAAAAGTGCGATTGGGCGGTGTCGGGAGACGTTGGGCGAGTTGAGGGCGAATTGGCTGAATATTGGGAGCTAACAAAGAGCAAAAAAGGAGTTGAAAGATAAGTCTAAAGATTAATCAAGAGACAAGAAGACCATTAAAAAAGACAAGTAAAGAGAGGGAAAGAAAGAGAGAAGAAAAGAGAAGCCCACCGCGGGGTCACAACAAACCCGTGCCAAGCCGCTTGTTTACTTCCCGATCTCCAACTGTTTATTTCTTCTCTCCACCTCCCTTTGATGCTTTCATCACTTTACTGAAACAACTCGATTATTCCATTCTTTGCTCAAACTGGTACGCTGGTACGCTGTTACGCTGTTACCCTGGTACGCTGGTACGCCTATATTCTCGTTCGACCTTCTTCCTCTCCGGCACATTTCCGTTGAAGCGCAGACCGGACACCCGCAGCAGCGCTGACATACCTCCTGTTTCCAGATATTGCAGTGGTTTCGCAGTCGCCTAAAGAATCGACGTCAGGATGGCTGACGGCGAAGAGGACTTCTCCTCCTTGCCTCTGGAAGAGCGGTTTGCTAATAAGGTGAGATACATGCTCCATCTCAAATTCGATTGAATCCTATGACAATGACTGACGTTATTTTATATAGAGCTGGAAAGTCCGCAAGGAAGCATACGGAAGTGCTAAAACAGTCTTTGAAAACACCGCCGATGAATCAGACCCGGCGTTCGTGCCATTCCTACGAGACCCCGATTTATGGAAAGGGGTAGTCACAGATTCCCATGTTGCCGCACAGGCCGATGGTCTTGCAGCATACTGTGCTTTCCTCAAATTCGGAGGAACCCAGGCTTGTACAAGGTGCGTGTCATAGGTTCCAGCTGCAAGACTGGATAGTCCGCCCTGCATTTTACTGACAGTTCACACTTAGGAGCCGTGGATTTACGATTGGCCCAATCGCCGAAAAATGTCTGCCGGCCCCGAAAGCTAAACCCGGTGCTCTAGAAGCGATCTTGTTATTTGTGAAATTCGACAAGGCCGATCCGGTGTTCGAGGCACTCGTGCCCCAACTCACGCACAAACTACCTAAGATGGTCGCCGCCACATTCTCAGCTTTCACTGCCATACATCACAACTATGGATGCAAGACAGTTGACCCTAAGCAAACTTTAAAGACGCTACCAACTGGATTTGCCCATGCCGATAAGAACGTCCGTGTCGAAGTACAGAACCTTGCAGTCGAACTCTATCGGTGGCTCGGGGAGGCTATCAAGTCTTTTTTCTGGGCTGGGCTTAAACCCACTCAACAAGCGGATTTGGAAAAGCTATTCGAGAAGGTGAAACAGGAACCACCGCCGCAGCAAATAATGTTCACAGCAGCGCAAGAATATGCCATGGCCAGCGCCTCCCCGGCAGCCGAAGATGGTGGAGAAGCAGCCGACACGGGCTTTGATGACGAGGGCGATGAAGAAGAGGTTGATGGGTATAACCTGGCGGATCCGGTTGATGTTATGTCCAAAATCCCTAAGGACTTCCAGGACCAAATGGCCTCCAAGAAATGGCAAGAACGCGTGGAAGCGCTGGAAGCTCTTCACAAGGCCATTGATGTTTTCAGAATCAAACCCGGTCCCTTCGATGACATTGTGCAGACGTTGGCGGCGAACGTTGGCAACGTCAACATCAAGGTCATGACTGGAGCTGCAAACTGTATCAGCAAGTTGGCGAGCGGTCTGCGCGGCGGGTTCCTCGCGAAATACCGTGGTGAGGTCATGAGACCCCTTTTTAGCCGTCTGAAGGAGGTAGGTGAAAAGGCAAAGCCTGTGTTCCTCGCTTTGCAAGCTGTCTTCGAAACAGCCACGCTTTCGGATTGTTTAGAAACAACTCTTGAATTCCTCAAGGATAAGAATCCACGAATCAAGCAGGGTACTAGCGACTTCCTGGTTCACTGCTTAGAAAAAACCAAAACGGTGCCATCCAAAGCAGAGCAGAAAGAGATCGCCGAGGCTGGCGGAAAACTCCTGCCCGAGTCAGCTCCGGCAACCCGTGAAGGAGGTGCTAAGATTCTGGGCACTCTGATGAAGATCACGGGCGAACGAGCCACGTACGCGTATCTTACGGGTGTTGACAAGCTGGACAAATACAAACCGAAGATCGCCGAATACTTTGAGACAGCAAAGGTGGTCGCCAAGGAGCGCCCCAAGCCTATAGTGGCACCCCCAAAGCCCGCAGCTCCAGCTGGCAAGAAAGTTGTTGGCAAGAAGCCAGCCCTAGGAATGAAGAAACCAGCTCCTGCGGCTGCTGCGCCTCCAGCGCCCGAATCCCCTGCTAAGACTGCGCCCAGAGCCTTGCCTTCAAAGCTCGGCGGTGTTCCCAAACCTGGTGGTCTCCCCACTCCTGGGGCTGGTCTCAAGCTTCAAAGAAAGTTAGCTGGCCCAGGAAGCGCTGCCTCGCCATCGAGACGGGTCGCCGATCCCCCTTCAGAAGACACAGCACCCCCGCCAGCTGCCCCGAAGTTTGGACTTGGTCGCGGTCTTGCTGGGCGTCCCATTGCGAAGCCATCAGCGCCTGTAGAATCTGCCCCGAGCCCGGTTTCCCCCGCAATGAACGCGATGTCTGCCGCTGATCGTGCCGAGTTGGAGGAACTTCGCATGGAGAAGGAAAGCTCCAGCCGAACAATTGAAGATATGAAGTCAGAGCGTTCGAGGCTCAATTCTACGATCACTGAGCTCCAGAACCAGAATGCACAGCTGATTGAAGATCACACCCGAGATGTTCTGAGCATTAAAGCCAAAGAGACTCAATTGGTACGGGCACGGAGTGATGCTGAAGCCGCAGAAGCGAATGTCCAAAAACAACAAAGAGAGATCGAACGCCTGAAGCGTGAATTGGCACGAGCACTTCGTGCATCTGCCATGAGCCCACCAAACGCAACATCTGATACCGGCAGCATTGGTATTCCAGAAACCAACTCGTCGATTTATCAAGAACCCACCGGAAGCGCACACGCGTTTGCACGAAATGGTCTTCACGCGGGATCCCGCTTCGAGAGCGCGCGCCCTCGCAGCATTGTCTCTGCTAGTCCAAGTGAAGAGAAAGAAAACACCGGTCTAGAATCCCCAGGGTTTGGCAGTCGAGATGGCGGCCTCGGCCGACGCAAGTTGAGCCCTACATATGGCTACTCGGGCATCGCCAGTCCGACACGCTCATCCACCCGGAACTCCAATACCAACCTCACAGAAGACGACCAACAACAACCCAGATCTACTGAGCCAGCTGAAAATTGGAAGCGGGCAGCCGAAGTCACCAGTCAACTGAAGGCGAGAATTGAACAAATGAAGGTAAGCATATACTCTTTGCGCTTGTTGATATACAAGACTGGTATCTAACTTAAAGACAGGTACGACAAGGGCTTTCACGACAACCCGCCCAACGTTAATGACCGAATGACCTTGATCACGTTTATGTCTCTCGTCCTTTTTATACACCCTTTTTTTGCGCCTGCCTTGATTTGCTTCAACTTGTGTTTTTTGACGGGCTCTCTTGGTGCCACTGTCTCTTTCTTAAAACCGGCGATGAGTATTTTCTGTTTCTTCTATGGTCGTCTGGGAGCACAGGGTCGGATTTCTGGGTTTCTTTCTGTATCTTTTTCTGCGCCTGCATTTGCCGTGGCCTTTGGGTCCTTGTAATTTCATCATACGAGCCTTGTCTTCTTCCCTTATTCTTGTTCTGATCCTCAACGGTTGGACGGATTGTCCATGTGGTGGGATATGAAGTGTTTGGTTCGCCATTACTATGTTTCTGCTATCACGTCCCGTTCGTTCTTCAATTTTTGATGTACAAACCTCCTCCTGTGATATCGCTAGTTGCTTCTTACTTCGATTGTTCTTCGGTTACTGTCTGTTACTGTGTGGCATGAAGTTGGATCCTCTTTTATCGCTCTTATTCGGGGCTTGTGGTTAGAAGAATGGTTGCATTATGTACCTTAAGATACCCGAGTTGGACAGAATGGGTTTAGGTGGAAACCAGGAATAGGAAACGGATTGTTTTGGCCAACTGACTTCATCTCCTGGGCAAAATGTAGAGGATATATAACGTTATATATACTAACGTCAGAAATGAGTGTATAGCTTCCTGAGAGAATCTTACTCTTACTCCCCTCAACACAGTCCAATTCTTAACTCTTCTTAAGCTATCTTCATGGCTTTCTTTGAGTAGGCTGGTGAAATATGTTGATACACCATCGAGCGCCGTGCCTGATAACTAAGTTACTTGCAGTCCTTCTATGGTGTGTTCATAGCTATCAATAGCATTAAGTTAAGCATGACAATATACTAGCGATGTAAAGTAGACAACCAATTTTATAACTATCATTGCTCCTAGAAGAAAAACTTGAAAAGCAGTGCTCCGCACAGCTCCGGATGTCTTGTGTAGTTGTGTGTGGTGTCCAACTCATGGAACACGACTGGGTCATTCTTTCGTGGTGGATAAAATCCCACAAAATTTGCAAAAAAAAATTTGCGTAAGTTGGCACTCAGCTACACCCCTGAAGTGAACTGCGGGTCATACAATTACAACTACACATACAAAGCAGACGACATGAATGCCTAATTCAGATGGGACTATATGAGCCATCAATAGAATTGAACAGGTAAAAATGCATTCATGGGTATCTGCAGAAAGTGGTACATGGGGGCCATTGGAGTTCGTAAGAGAAAAATTTGTCTTTTTTGTTAGAACAGGATCCAAAAAAGGCCCAAGGGCTCTTTCGCACCCATCTAAAGCTAAAAGAATCGGCCGTCAATAAGTCATCCAGAGCCTTGAACACCTTAATTGTCTCCCATTAAACTTTTTATGAGAGCCGAGCGCTTTTTGAAAAACGATCCCGTCAAACAGACATCTCAGACCAAGCTGTAGTTACACAAGCTTAGACCTTGATGGCGGCCTCGAGGGCCTTCTGCTTCTTCTCAATGCGGGCGTTGGCCTTGGAGCCCATGATACCACCACCCCAGTGGCGGCGGGAGTCCTCGTACTTGTCGGTGTAACCCTCCTTGATGGCGGAGAGGAGCTTGGCGAACTCGGCCTTGTCCTCGGAGCGGGTCTCGGTGAGAGCCAGGACGGCGGAGGTCTTCTTGTGGACGACGGTACCGAGACGGGCCTTGCCCTTGACGATGGCGTAGGGGACACCCATCTTGCGGCAGAGAGCGGGCAGGAAGACAACGAGCTCAATGGGGTCGACATCGTGGGCGATGAGGACGAGGGAAGCCTTCTTGTTCTCGACCAGGCCGACGACGTGGTTGAGACCGTACTTGACGTGGTAGGGCTTCTTGGAGACATCCTCCTTCTTCTTGCCCTCGGAGACGGCGGTAGCCTCCTGGACGAGACGCTCCTTCTTCTCGGCCTTGGTCTCAGGGCGGTACTTGGAAAGGAGCTTGAAGGTCTGGGCAGCGGTGTTGCGGTCCAGAGTGGCCTGGAACTGAGCGATTGAAGGAGGAACCTTCAGGCGCATGTTCAGGATCTTCTTCTGGCGCTGAAGACGGACATACTCGGGCCACTTGACGAAGCGGGACAGGTTGCGCTTAGGCTGGATGTCCTGGCCGATACCGAAGTTGCGGGAACGCTTCTCGATGAGAGGGTTCTGTTGCGAGTAAGAGGGGTTAGTGTCTTCAAGACTCAACGCACTCCCAGTGGAAAAGAAAACTAACCTTGGCGGCCTTCTTGCCAGCACCAGCCTTGCCCTGGGGGTAGGGCATGGCGGCGGTCTTCTTTCCGGACTTAGTGGGAGGCTATCATTGAGAAAAGAAGATCAGCGTGCTGTCCACCGAATGCTGCATCTTCTTTGAACTCTAAGGAGAGCGATGAGCCAAGCCTTGTTACGGGCATTGGACTCATGCTTCCAGCCAAATCATCACACGATACAACACATCTCTTTCGAGGCTGTGTGCGATCGGCGGAATTGCTTAGACATCAAATCTGAAGCAGTGCGAATGTGTTTTATGACATTGCAGGAACTAGTATCTCTGATAGAATATCAAGAGACATTCAGGTACTCACCACCATGTTGTCGACTGGGATCGTTGCGCTGGTTGACGATTGACGGATGAGAAAGGAAAAAGTTCGAGTGGATGCAACTTATGAATTTGTCGTGGGTCACGCTAGCGCGATCAGGTGATCAGGGCTAGGGTTAGAGCTTAGGGCAGATCCACTCAGTCAGGTGACAGTCACCTGATATCAGATTGCCGTTAGATCTACAGGAACAAATTGTTAAGACAGTCGTTATTTTGGGTATCTGATGCTCTCCTTCATGAAGCTCCATCTTTTCATACGGTGTATCATCTGAGATCACCAATTACTGAATCTCGTAACCACCATTCCCGAGCCCCGCTAAAGCAAGTCTAATTACATACAACTGAACGCCATAGATAGACCAGATCAGATCGCATGATCATCAAAGTTATCCTATGCAACAAACCCACACATATAATTGCCAGGAAACCCAATCACCGCCATGCCCCCAGTCCAGGCAAAGCACCCCGTCCCAAACCAGCACTAGCAGCCTGAACAGCCTTCCTCTTACCCAGCGAGCCCTCCTGGGCGCGAACACCGGCAATAATCTTCTCAATATGCGTCTCAACCACAACACCACCGACAATCATCTCACCCAGCACAGCATGTAGCGTCTCATACCCAAAGATCAGATCCAATTCGCAGACATTCTCAAACATCCGGTCTAACGACTCGACAAACACCTGGATCAAATCAATAAGAGCTAGTGGTGACTCTGTAGACGTAGAAATCATGATAAACGACAGCGTTGCGTAGGTGCGGTATGTGATCTGGGTGGGGGTATCGGAGGGTCCGGTGGCGGAGGAGCTGGCGCCCTGGGAGAGGAGGGGTGGGAGTGGGAGGAAGTTGCAAGCGCTTGCCGGGCGCTGTGCGACTAGACGGTATATTTGCGCGATGAGGGATTGCTGGGTTTGCGTGTCCTGGGTTACCGTGTGAGTTGGGGTGTCTGGCGCGGAGTCCGCGGTGGTGCGGGGTGTCGCTCGAGGGCTTACCAGCTGTGTGTAGAACTTGGTCAGCCGGGGCTGGCCATTGTTATTGAAGACTAGGACTGCGTTGATCATCTTGAATGGTGAGGTGAGAGGGAGTACCGCTGCACTTGTACTTGGATGCAAGAATGGCTTATCGATAACTGCGGTCTTGGCTCGACTTGCCCCGTGCGCCGATCTGGAGAAATCGACCTCTTTTTTTTTGTTCTAACTCTTGATCGCGGGCCAAGAAGACAGCATGAATTCAATATCATTATGCGGGCGCTCTGCGCCTAAGAGAACCATCTATACAACAATACGAACGCTGTCCTCAGCCTCCAATACACAAAAACGCGAGCTCAAAGACCTCACCCCGTCCGACCTCTGCTACTACTGGGATACGCAACCTCCCCGACCCGAACAACTAGCCTTCGCCGACAAGGTCTTCACTCCGTCCCGTCATTCTCCCTTGAAGCTCTGGTCCGCGGCCAAGTTCCGCACGACACCACTCTCATCGGAAGACCCCGAAGTCGCATTCCTAGGCAGGTCAAATGTCGGCAAGAGCTCACTCTTGAACGCAATAATGGGGCAGGAGGTCTGCTGGACATCCTCGAAACCAGGACGGACGAGGGAAATGAACGCATTTGGGATTGGGGGAACGAAAGGCGGCGAACACAAGGTCGTCTTGCTTGATATGCCGGGATATGGAAAGGCCAGTCGAGCTGAGTGGGGAGCGGAGATTATGAAGTATCTCCAGGGACGGAAGCAGTAAGTTATATCTCTATCCCTGTTATCTGCTTGGAAATGGTATGTTCTGACATTCACTATCGCAGACTCCGTCGAGCATTCATCCTCATCGACAGCACGCATGGCATTAAACAAACAGACGCCGATATCCTCCAAATGTTTCGACACTACGCCATCCCACACCAGATCATCCTTTCCAAAGTCGACAAATTCCTCGCGAAAAAGATGAAGTTAATAAAGTCCGGCGTATCGCCGTACAACCTCGAACGACTTCAGCTTTTGCTGCAGGGTGTCAAACCAATTATCCAACCTGATCCTCGAGTCTCCGAGGGGCCTGGTGCCCTAGGTGAGATCTTGACTTGCAGTGCTGAGGCGCAGATTGGTCCTGGTCGCGCGCTGGGGATTGATGCTATTCGCTGGTCGATTTTGTCTGCTGCTGGTATTGACGGGAGTCTAGAGGGTAGTCGTCCTGCTGATCCGGTGCCTGCCGTGGATACGTCGAATTCTGTTTGGTGATGGCTTTAGGCACATGGTGGAGTTTGGATATCATCTATTCTCGTCGAGTTTCTGGCTTGACTTATATTGGTGTGGCTAGCCGCATATGCTCTGTTGATTCATGGCAAAAATGCCTTCGCCTTTTTGGATGAGGATAGTGAGACATGAGTTACTCTCTAGACGCAGGACGAACCTCCAGAGGTTTCAGCTGGCCGGTCTATACGCCATAAAATGGCTGTCTCTTAAGTTGATGATGTCGTCCTTGACACAGGCCAAGAGATGGCCATACGTGGAGCATTTAAATTCTTTGTACTATATAGTTATCTGCTACAGGCAGAACATATCATACGATATACCCAAGATAAAGACAGTAAAATAAAGATCATAATCAATCTACTACAGTCCGTTAAAGACAACGCAAAGCATAAAAAAATATGTAAAAGAATCCAAGGGACTCATCATCGATATGATGTTGCCGTTATGACGAAGATAGGATTGGAATTCACATACGGATCAGGCAGACAAAGAAAACGTATCGTGGCAGATGCAAGGGTAAGGGATGATATTTGGGGATACAGAAGGATAGAAGCCCTCAGATAAGTAGTTGATATGAGGAAAGGAAAAGATAACGCCTGGCCCCCATCATAATGCTGCAAGACCAAAGAATGCCGACCACGCTATGCAAAGGTTTGTTCCGATGGAAGACGAGAGCTGTAAGGATGGGTATCGTGAATTGGTAGTTTGGGGTATTGAGAGATCACAGGAAAGTAGGAAATGTAGGAAGGATGGTTCGTCGGATGTGGTTTGAAGTCAATCTTGGAAAGCAAACTTGCTTTCAGTCAGACAGGTCGTCATCTTCATCGAGGTTTTGGACCTCCTGTCCGCGTGCGTTGACAACGATGCGGGAGGCGAGTTTGCTTTCTGGCACGCCATCGCGTGCAGCGCCGAAGTCAAGTACCTGGTGAACCATGTTAGCAAGAAGGTCTAGAGAGATATCGATTTTATAACTTACTTCAATGTAAGTTATACTGTCACGCTGCACCGCAGCAACACATCGTCGGTCATTGAATTTGACCTGCCACACGCCACTGAGGTCAGATAGAAGATCTCGCACGCAGTCGCCTGTCGTCACATCCCACATCTTCAGGGTACGGTCAGATCCAGAGATGACCTTTTGCCCATCGTGCTGGAAGCAAGTGATGGCGCCGGTGTGTGCAGTCAGCGTGTTCTTGCAGTGGCCGTGAACAGAATCCCAAATTCGAAGAGTAGAGTCCGCGGCCGCTGAGACAAGGAAATCGTTCTGCAAAGCAAGTAGACCAACAAGAGAGGTGTGACCTTCAAGGTTGTAGAGAACAGACCCATCATCTAGCGACCACACCTTGACCATATGATCCATTGCTCCACTGATGCAACGATTGCGCTTGTGGTCAAGAACAACGCTATACACCTTCATGGAATGCCCCTGTAGAGTGTGCAGTGTTTGCCCGGTGGAAATCTTCCAGACCTTGACGGTGCAATCATAGCTACCACTCACAAGGGTGTCGCCATGGGCTGCAATAGCACGAACAGAATGCTGATGACCAGTGAGAACCCGGAGGAAGTAGGGACAGTCAGTGTCATCGACAAGCGGACCGCCCTGGTAATAGACTGGGTCTCCGGGCTTTGGGAGCTTCCAAACCCGCAGGTTGGAATCCCGAGATCCAGTAATAATCAATGGCTCTTTCGGCATCATTTCAGGCTGCCCATTGACATTTTTGCCCACCTCAGTGGGAAGAACAATCTGCAAGCAGCGAACAGTGGAGGTGTGACCGTGGAAGATCTGGGTACATCTGGCCTGCTCGATATCCCAGACTCGGACAGAGCGATCCGTGGAACCGGATACCAGTGTGTTGCCATAATACTCAAGAGCCCAGACACCGCCCTCGTGCCCCTCTAGCGTTGCCTTCAACGCGCCAGTCTTGGTATCATATACATTGATGTTGGTGTCGTCACTGCCAGTAAGAACCTTGTCGGCGTCAAACTGCAAACAGGTGACGACATGGCGGTCATGGGCGCGGAAAGCAATGTGTTGCGGCTTCACTTCCGGCCTCATCCACCCCTTGCGGATAGCATCATGACGACGGTAGAGAACTTTATATAGATAAAGTCCCCGAAGAGAGGGATTGCCAACCTCGGCGTAAGGCACCGCAGCGGCTGCAGCGCTGGCGGCGGCATACGGGGCCTCGGAAGCGGCAATGTCCTTTTTCCAAGACGGATCACTGCACTCTCCCCCACTGGATGAAATCTTGCGCTTGGCCAGCTTGCGGCTTGTAGTACGCGTGTTGGCTTTGCGCTTGGGTCGTCGTAACGACGACGACAGGGATGAATAGGAGGATCGGCTGTTTGAGTCCATTGCCAATGGAACAGGAGACTCCTCTCTATCCGCCCTGAAGAAGGCCATAAGGCTGAGATCTTGCTCAGGCTCTTCAGGGCTGTGAGGAAGTTGCCATCCCCATCCCTGTCTAATGGCCCGCTCCAATTCTCCATCTGAAAGAGAATATCCATCCTGGTCAATGAGGTGCTTCCAGGATTTTTCGTCAGAATTAGTGATGTGCCTCCACCGCTTGGACACCTGCGCAGCACGGCACATGCTTTGGACGTCAAGGTATTTGGTGATGTTGAGACTGAGCTCGAGAGGGAGAAGAGCGAGGAAATCGCACTTTAACGTCGGGTTGACCACATCTGCTACAAAATGTAGGGTAGGCTTAGGGCATCGTCGAAGGAACTGATACATAAGATAGGTCTTCATCTCCTCGGGTACCGAATCAAAGAATTCGAGTACCTTTGGCATATCCAAAAGAGAGGGAGGCGACCGTGAGTTGGGCCCATTCGCTGCATCCTGAAGCCGCATGGCCTTCCGAAAACGGGACACGTTATGATCGAGACTAGAATCCGTATCAACGTCAAGTCCTTCAGAATCAAACGAGGACTCGCCATGAAGAGCGTTCATAGCGGCAACCGGAGAGAGGCTAGGACTCGGCAGGCACATATCTTGTGCCATGGCATTGTCAATTGCGGAGAGCTGGGAGGTAAGTTCCGGTCTGCTCTGTGATGCGGGTTCTTGTGTTCCATATGTCGTATCCTGGCTGAAAGAAGCCGGTTCATGTGCATTTGAGCAATTCTGGTCCACTTCAGGTGCTTGAGGCTCCTGGTTGCCAGAACTGGAACGAATACCGTGTAGTCCATTTTGTTGCACGGCATCTTGGCTCACGTGTTGTGGACCTTTGGTTCCGATTTCAGAAGACAGAGGGGACGGCAAAGGAGGCTCTCTGCGCGGGAATACCGCACTGTGGATTCTCTGTCTCGGCACTACTATCTCGCCAGATCCACCGAAGTTCGCCTCAGTGTCTGGTGTGGCCAGACCCGCGGCAAGATGAGTTGGTGCCACGCCACTTTGGCGGGTGCGGCGTGTTATGGGCTCAGAAGGAACACGAGATGCACGAGTCCGCGGAAGAGTTGAGGATCGTGGCTCGGGGATAGAGACGGGGGATACGGCACGACGACGGGAGTTGAAAGGATGGCTGGAGGGCTGACTCGTGATCCTTGGAGGGGCCAGCCGCCGGGTGGGGTTGTCAAGCTCAGAAGTGAACGAGCTCACGGAACGAATCTGACCGTTTGCCGCCTTTAACGCCTCAGTTTTCTCCTTTGTCTACACGATGTTAGCATTTCAACCGAAATAAAGCGATGACGAAACCCCTTACCTCGCTGGCAGCAGCTTTAGTGTCCTCGGGTTCGTTGAAAACTATAGATCTGTCGCCGATCTTGAACTTGAGATTCCTCAAAGATGCTGGAGTCGGGGCCGAGGCGAGAGGGTACTGTCTGTTGTCCAAGTCCTTGACGGAGCGCGGGGGTTTGATGACCAAAGGAGGAAAGGAGGTGGTCGTAGTCGTGGTGGTGGTCACCACCGTGGTTCGAGTCGCTGGAGCGAAAGAAAACTGTCCGAGGGCAGCATCCGATGGCCCTTCAGCCAGTTCATCTCTCTCCGGCTCGTCCATTCTATATCGTTGGGCGGATCGAGCGTCAGGGCTGTGGGCGACATGTGACGAAAGCGTAGATAGGTTGTGATCGGCGTATGTCGAATCAGGGATTTGAGAGGCAGCATTCAAGGACATGATGCTCAAGAGGGGAGCATCGAGTACGAAAGAAGTCACCACGATGTCCAGGTGTTCGTAGGAAATCGCCCCTGCAAACCATGAGAAAAAGATCAGAGCATTTCGGATTCAAAAGTGCACAGGGGATAGAAAGAAGCAAGGAAGTCAAAGGAAGGGGAGAAACAGTGGCGGCTGACAAGGAGTTGGGGCGGAGAACAACAATAATTCCGACGATGTCATGGCCCAACTTCAATTTTGCACGTTCTGTTCTTTGTCTCTTTGATATTGGATATTTGGATGTTGTATTCTATTTGATAATGTTATTTGATTCATGTTCTATTCTTCTACTCTACTATCTCTTCCATTTCTTCCATTTGTTACCTGGACGGAAGAAATATCAACCCTGTAGTCTCTAGGCCTACAAGTGGGACTGAGCACACTAGGCCGTTACATCCAGTCTAGCCTTTGGCCACTTTTCTTGCTCTTTGCCTATTTGCCTATTTGCCCGCTTGACTCGAAACTGCAACTTTGCCATTTACGGCGACTTTTTCTTCCCGGTTTCTTCAGTCTCGCCACATGTCACGTGAAGCGGGGACGTGCCCTTGTATAAAGATTCATATAGATTCCGCTTATCTTGCTGGATTTCAAGTTAGTATCCTGTTAAGGGAGGATTCATTGAGCGTGTTTATTTTTCCGATATATGTATCTATTTGCTTGAATACCGGTCGATCTCTGCAACTTCCAAGGCTTCCCCACATTTTCTTCAAGGGCTTGGCCCACAAAAGTACTGTGGATGTTCCTAGAAATTAATGTCCTGCACATGGGCCTGTCAATTTCATAGGTTAAGTGCGATCGAGACTCTTCTCGTTTTGTGTAAATATAGCACCTCGCTGCATATAATCCTATGATATATTTAGCCGTAGCATAGTGGCTTAACAACGCCGCTAAGAGTGCAGATACATAATGCGACCCAGGTATCAAAATGGCAAGTACTACCTCACGTAGTTGTCTTCGGTCCCATAGAACCCCAAGAAATTCACCACCTAGGCTTTGCCTTCTATGGCTCTTTTTTTGGATTGACAATCCTGTTATCACGGCTACAACTTAGCGCACAAGTGCTTTGCAAGGATGAAACATGACCTGAATGATACAGCACTTCTAGAAATCGAGAAACATATTTATCATAGCACATTCATCCGCACTCAGTGTTAAATGTCCACTAGCCCTAGTGAAACTCTTCCTTTTCTACGTGTTGCCCTAGTTACAAACATAACAAAGTTATTATTTTAGCTGTCTCCTTGTTTCTTCTGTTTCACACTCTTTGTGATTTTTCTTTAATAATGTGGCTTCATCAAGCTTAAGCAACGGATTTTGCTTTTTGCACAATCCCCACAAGCCTATTATCAGCAAGAAGACAAGAAGCCATGGCGGAGTGCAGCTCATTTGAACTCTTTGCAGAAGCTCGCCTTAAGCTTCAGGATCTCATTCAACGGATAATCTTTGATCTCAACAACAACTACCCATTGCTTTGCAATGAGATTAGAGCAGGCTTAGCTTTCATCTCCATTTACGTGGACGTGATCAGAGGACTCGGGCAGTTAATGGCTAACGAGTCTCCAAATTGTGAGCCTATCCAGCTTGCACCGCAAGAATCCACTTGTAACTCTAACCCCCACGAACAAGGGCACACTGAGCTCAAACGGGCTTGTCACTTTACCGATGAAATGGTGCACATGCTATCGCCTCATCTAGAACTCGATACGGACCTCAACCCAATCATCTGTAGCCTTGAGCTCCTTAGTGACTCTTGGAATTTGGATTGCCCATCTCCTCGCGAGCAGACCGTCGAAGGCCTGTAAATGCCCCGGAAAATACTCTCCAACTGTTGCAACATCAGCACCTGAGTATCTCGATCGTGGCCTTTCGGCTCCCCAAGATACAGCTACTCCTGTGTTGCCGGTGTCCATGTTACCTGCTCATGTTCCAATCTCACAAACACTTGAAAGATGCGGCTCTTCTTCCCAGTCTTAGGCAGCCCTACCTAGGTAGCCCGGGGACCGTGGCCCGAGTAGTCCACTCCGTTTGAGCACGCTTCGGATGATCTTGGTCAGAGACGACCATTCAGGTCCGTTGGATAGGTTTATCTCGATATATTTTATGCAGTGATATTAGATTTCTAGATTTGTCGAATAGAATACATCTCGAGGTCTATCCATGATCCACCTTTGCGCGTTGTAGAACTAGACTCTCGTTTAGTGGAAACATGTAATTCCAGGGCATTTTTAGTAAACATTGCCTAATGCCAGGATCAGCCATCTCTGAATAGTGACTGTTTTCACTTGAGGCCTTGTCCCTGTTGTGCTTCCCCTAACTCTAACAATATTTTCCTTTCTTCTTTTTTTCCCAACACCCTGATTCCTAACAATTAAAACAAGCATATTTTTTTCAATCAGAAGCCCAAAGGATATCTTTTGAAAGAATCCTACACAAAGAAAAACCCTACTCGCCCGCATTGTGCAATGCTTTGTGATCCCACAACCAGGCCTTCTTTGTTTGCCCAACCTACATATTTCTATCCTGGTCCCCAAACTATTTTCAACCTCAAATCCATCAACCACGAAATGATCACTCGTGCTAAAGCTATACTGGGGCTTGCACCTGCTGCTCCCGTGGCAAGCAAGCCTAAAGTTGTCCATCTTGCTGATACCGCTGATACCACCAATACCACCGAAACCACCACACCAACCCCCAAACTTCCCATCGAGGAGATTTTTAGATTTCCCGTGGTGGTGAGTCGCTATCGAATCATCAGTGATAAAACCGTAGAGGTCAAGGCTTTCTGACATCAATGTAGGCACATAGCTTCGATTTGACGAAGATCATGCTACATATGACCGTAAGTCCATCCAGTCATCAAATTTGCTGGTTTGTTCGTTTCTTAATACTGAGTAATGTCTATAGATCGCAACACTATTTTACATGCGGTTTGAAATGCCCTAACTCCTATCCTCTCCACTCCGCTAATCCAAAATAGCGGTTTGTTACCAGACATGGTCTTTAGCGAGCGAAACCTTCGAGGAGCATCATTCGAAAAGGGCTTCATCTATTCCCAAATAATCAACGGAAAAGGCGTCGGGAAATCCAGATCCCACAGAGCGGATTATGTCCCCACGAGGATAATCGAGAAAAACATGAACGACACGGCAGATCACTTTCTCAACCTCCTTGTAAGATCCCCAATCTAACTGCCGATTATACAACTTTAATACCCCTCAGGAAGGAGGAATTTTCGAAGCAATCCGACAAGGAAACCTCCACGCTGTGCAACTTACGATCTTCGACAACCTAGATGTACCAGAGGCCGTCCTAGAGTCGTATACATTCACCTTTGACTACTCCGGCAATCGCGGCCCAGCCGATCGCAGACATGTGTACACGAAGATTGATATTTTGGATATAGCAGGAGACAAGAACGCGTGGCGTGATGTGATTAGAACTGGAGAGTCACTCATTCGACAGCTGATCACGATGTGCGCTAGATTACCGATTTTGCCTAGTATGTGTACTGCTTTTGTCATGCCTGGTATAGTTGCTAACGAGAAGAGTAGATCAGCGATACATGGGCATACATGTCTTTTACAGGGATGAATGTGATGATTCGTATGAGATACCTGGCTTCGCTCGCGCCGATGACGATACTATTGGATACCCGAGTGCTGGGGATTGGGGAAAAGTGTCGCGGTTCTGCGGGACACTTGATAGTGGATTCCATACGTATGTTGTCCCTTCTGTTTATATTATTTCACTTACTGTGGCTATATTTTGAGAGCTTAAGCTGACCTGATGAAGTGCCGGAGTGCGATTGAGCCATCTCGCCCCCCGCATCATTGACCTGGCGACCCCCATTGAATTGCTAGAGGAGAGGTACGATGACAACCTGCTCCGCGTTAGTGAGACTGGAATCGAGGAGGCTCAGATACCGATGATGGGGGAGGTGTATTTCTCCACGGATGAAAGCACTTGTAGTGAAAGCTCTCCCACTGACCCATCTCTGGTCAGATATCTACCTCTAGACGAGGACGGCAATGAAGATGACCAGGGCCCTGTACGTATGTATCTATCAGGAAATTCCGGTTTCGGGCTGTATGAACACAAGCTAATACATTGACACGATAGAGTGGACCTACTACAACATCACCCAGCGGCTGCGTACCATGGAGAAAATGAGACATAATCATAAAAGAGGGCGTCCGGTGACTTTGGTCTCCTATATCCGAGAGTTGAACTGTTACTAACTACTACTAGAAAATACTCGCAAATGACGAGCCCGAACTCCTAACTACCGAGGCCCAAGCTAAGTCTGCTCAACGCAGAGCTCACAGAAGGGCGATTCACCTGGCGGAGAGTATCAGCAACGAAGAAATTGAGCTACCAGATGTAAGATCCAGATCTTTGAGGAAGGCCCAAACGCCCGAGCCTGGACAACCCACAGACCGTATTTCGACTCGCAGGGCTGCGGGCCAGCGGGCTTTAGAAGAGATTCGTGAGATACAGAAATCGGGACTACGACCTACTGTCCGCGCGATGACAGTGCACTATATCGGGAATCGAGCAGTACCGGTCGACAAGTTCTCCGATCAGAATGATAACGGGGAGAGTTCCTCGCATGACATCGTTGATCAGATCGATGATTGTCGGTGTGAGTGTAACAGCCAGACTGAATACAAGCCTGATCTTATAGCAAGTTGCCTGCCAGTATTATCGTGGAATGTACAGATCTAATTAATTATTTGTAGATCAAATGTGCTAGCTGCAGGTTCACCCAGCACGCCGAGTGCTATGGATACCGACACAGAAAAGACAACCGGCTTCCCAAGATTCATTACTGCTACAGCTGCTTGATCGGCTATGACTTTGACAGTGAATTAATGGAAAAGCTAAAAAAGCTCATACGAATGCGAAGAGCAGTCAAAACGATCCTCTTCGAGGGTATCCCACCATCGAATGCAATTCTGGCCGCTCATCTCGGTAAGATCTCATCACACAACCCCAAGTATCCCATTCTAACTTGATACAGACTGCACAAGGGACGAAGCCCGTGAGCTCGTACACAGTTTCCGTAAACTCGGTCTCCTGATTAGTAGTCTAGGATGGAAAGCTAGAGGCTTCTATAAGGGCAATGATCCCAAGTTCACTTTCGCTACCAAAGGACCAAGCATACCAACACTGGCCAGTGAGGTGCTAGATCCGATGTTGCGTATCCGCCAATATGTAAGTGCTAGCGCTAACCGTGTCCGGGATTGTGTGTATGGTTTACTAACTGTTGAGTAGTATGATATCCCGGTCCTCGAGCCTCCTTCACTTTTGGGTGCGAATTTCCCAGGTTGCATTATTACAAAGTACCCGCCCGGGATGGAGGATATGAATACAACTATGACTGCGCCAAGTAAGAAGCGGAAGCAGGGGGTTATGTTTCACAAGGCTTATGATGGTGAACATGCAGCGGACTCGAGGCGAATGTCTAAAAAGCCTAAAAAGTCTGCAAAGTCTACGAAAACACAGAGAAAGAAGAAGTGAGGATCGACAGGAGTGTTTAATGTTTTGTATCGGTTTATTTTTACCTGGATGCGTTTTTTTCGAGCCTAAAATCCTTTGGAAGATCTCTTTGATATGATTGTAGTATTTACAGCGCAGTCCACAAACCCAAATTTTGGACTCGGCCTCTGTCAAAGTCTGCTCAAGACGTTTTTGTTTGATTCATGGTACCATTTTGGCGCTGGACATATTAAGTTTCATGTCTTTGTTCTCCCTTTTACCTCACTCGAACTCGAGGGCTTACCACTAGACTAAAAATATGAGGTATATGAGCTTAAAATTTAGCTATGATCTGCGCAGTATGGGGAAACGCAAAAGAATAGAGCGTTTCAGAACCTTGGTAAGGCACCAAGCTATTGGAGTGGACTATTGAAGACCATCAGGGGTTAACCGCGACCATTTTGCATAGTGGGCGGAACCGCCTGTCAAACCAAGTGTTTGGGTTCAATAGTGTTTCGAGGTGAACGTGGGCAGTTTCCGGACATTTGGGAATGCCAAAATCCGAGCGTTTACTGTAATTGTTTCATTCACACATTTCACCCAATTCACACCTTTCACACACTCAAATCACACATCCTCGGCATCGTGATCAGCTCACAGGCTGAATCCCCTCGGGATGGCGGACCAAACAGGAAATGCGCCACATACCCGACAGGGATGTCATCGACCGTCGGCGAATGGATCTCGACTGGACCAGGATCTCGATCTGGGAGAAACTGGAAGTCCCCAGAGTGTCATCATCGCTTGCACCTGTTCCGCCCACGGGCGCCCCGTGGGGCACACACACGGGCTGACGCCATGATCCCCGATCACGGATCTCCGGGACTATTGACTTGATTGGGAATTGAACACCGTGCCGTGCAAGATAGTGCACGATATATGTCCGTGCCGGCGTCTGAAACGTACATCTGCAAGTCGGCGAGAGTCCGTTCAAACCAGTCTCTGCAACTAGAGGCTGTCAACCTGTCAACTCAATCCTTGGACCCATGTCTCCATCTGTGCCGGCGAGACATGCGTGCTACATTACAGGATTTGAGTTACTGGGGCGATACACTGGGTGCACACATGGACCGCGTCGATCACTACCAGTTCCTGTCAGTTCCGTCTGCAGGATTTGACCGAGACGCGAATAATTTTAGGCAAAGGACACTACCACGCAAAGGATCCAAGGTTGAACTCGGTACATGTATTTGTCACGGCGGCACGAGGTGGAGGTTAGGTAATTTGCGTCCGGAGCCACGATCGAAAGCTGAGCTCGTGCACGATACGCTGGGTCGATATTAGATCGATTTGCCGATCTGCCCTCGGATGCGACCACTGCGTGTGATTAATGTGTGGAGGAGTGCAATCGCTCTACCGTAGTGGATGCTCCATCTCCATGGAATCCACATTCGGCTGCTAGCTCGTGATTCGAAAAGGTGCCTGAACATCCGGAGTACGCATGGAGTACATGTACATACATGTTCATGGATGTGGACGAGAGTAAAGGGAATTGGCGAGAAGTGGGTTTAGGCGGAAAATAAGTCTAATTCGCCCAGTTGGCATAGAGGATTGGCGCCAATAGCCTCTATTTAGTATTAGCTTTTTGCACCTCCGGTTTCCAGAAGAGCTTCACGTGTATTTTTAGGTTCAGGGGTAATTCTCCTACTGGGAGGATGACAATTAGCAGAAGTACTTTGCATATTAAATGTGCAGATTAACTGGGTAGTACACAGCAGTCTATAGGAGTCTATACAGTCATAATAACGGCTGTACTTTCCCCCTGAAAGAGTTCCATGGAATCAAATCCAAGTACCACAGTTCCAGTTGCACTTGATCTATGCCTTGCCCAATTGCCCACTCCATCTCTGTCGATCACTGCTAGCCTCTCTCCCAACCCAACTTACACCCAGCTCCACCTCATTAAATGAAATCAATGGAAATAAATGAAACACCGTACCACTCTTTCGCAGCCTATAGGATTCCATTTTTCTTCGAAGCCTACAATCCACTGCTGTGGGACCCCCCCTTTAAGCGTGCCGTGAGTCTAAACCAATTGACTGATGTAAACCCCAGCACTCTCTACAAAAACAATCCCAGCCCTGAGATCCTCAGTCTTGATTTCTAAACCCTTCTTCCCCGCTCGTTTCCGTGATATCTTGTTACACCGGTATGTGAAATGACCAGGACCATGCCAATTTCATACTAACATTTGACTTGTGGAGTAGATCGCCAACTTTCGGAAGCAAATACTTGAACCCACCAAACCCAACTCGCCTAGTCGGCATACTCAGAGCTAAAGAGCTCACGATTCCATGCACTAGAGCAACAAAGCGTGTATCCGATGTCGGGACGCGATCGCTCACCAGTCCACATACCGCTCCGCACGTCGAGTCGCCAAATGGAGAACGAGGAAGACCTCGGGATGGACCGCAAAGCTTCCAAAGCGCAGCGGTTCTTTGGAACAGAGCTGTCAATCCCCGAACATGCGTGGCAGGAGCCAAAAAAACAACGCCGACCCAGCTATAGAACACCGCCCAGCAGTGCCCCAAGGCAGAGCAGCGGCTTCGTGCCTTTCCCCACAGAGAATGCCCCCATCCCGGACCAGAACCTTCGCGTGCGGGCTTCATCACCTCTGCTGGGGGTGAACTACCGATCGCAAGAGGCCGCACCGCCGCTCCCGAAGCCCTCGAAAAAAATACACCACTCCGGTTCTTCCTCGACTCTGTTTTCATACTTCAGTTCCAAGGATTCTTCCAAGTCGGCCAAGGCCGGATCGCTCCAGCCGAAAGTGCGGAACGGACTGGGTATTGAACCTCAAGTGACGTTCAGTGAGGCTCCGAATCCGCCGAAGGAGTCGAAGCGGAAGATGCGTCCTCCGAGAATTGATCTCTCCGTTTTGTTCCCCAAGCCTCGGAATACCAGTGCGCATAACGGTCTTTTGTCTCCGCAACGAATGACGAACTCGCCATCTCCCGTTTCTACGGTAATTTCGGATTTCCCTTCCAATCCGGCTCCCCAGCATATTCCCGTTTCCATCCCCCGCAAGGTGGAAAGGACTACCGATCATTCCAGCAAGAGATACCCGGATGCACCTCCTCGTCGGCCATCCCTCCAGTCACTCAAGAGCGAGTCCAAAAAGCATGTCGATAATTCGGATCTGCCATCTATTGCTGAGACCAAAAATAGCGAGTGGTATGACCAGCCGATGGAGCGCACGGTAGGAACAAGCGAGATCGATCTGGCCCTGGACAGATATGCTGGCCGGCGCTCGCTCTTCAGTCGCTCCAGTGTATATTCCAACAGCCGGGAGAACTTGCCGCTAGAACAGCAACGGACTCCAGAGCCCAAACCGAGCGCGAGGCGTGCTCATAGTCCCTCTACCAGAACCAAGGATATGTACCTGAGCCCAACTGCTCGTCCAGAGATGGTCCGCCCTCGTGGAATGAGCTCTTCCCAGGAATCCTGGAAGACCAAGAAGAGCGAAAAGAGCTCGACATCCAAGAAGAGCAACAGAAGCACGTTGAAGAACAGGGACCTGCAAAACTCTAGTGTTCTCTGCCTTTCCTCGTCATCGGAGGATGAGGATGAGCAAATTACCCCCACTGAGCCAAAGCGCAGTGGAAAGAAGAACTACAGGGACAGTGTCGCTACCTTTGATGATGATGAGCCTGAGATCTTCACTGCTTCTACGGCCAAGGCGGCCACGGCCACGGCCACAACGCCAACTTCGCGGCGCTTTGATCGGCAACCATCGACCGGCAGTCTCAAATCCCAACCTGAAAAGATCCAGCCGGCTCCAGCTCGTCGCAAGGCTTCCCACTCCTCCACAGGAATGTCTTCCACCGGCAAGTCTTCCCAGACAACCCGACGCACCACCCAAACTCGACGCTCGAGTGGGGTTCCCACCATCGAGGCAGACCTTCTCGCACAGTTCCCACAGCAGCCTCTTCGCTCCCCCGCAGAGCTTAAAGAGCTGAACCGGAGAAGTCGCGTCATCGCTGTGACCCGGCAAGAGCAGGACCTTCTCGAAGCAATGCGCGTCCGAAAGGGCAAAGTCACGCCGAGTCTCTTCAACTATGGGAACCTCCCCGAGGCAGACCGACGCTCAATCCTCTCAGGTCCCTCGCGCGATTCCTTTTGTGGATCTGATACCTCCTTCCTACGTCTCAGCAACGTCTTCCCGCCATTCAACACTCCATCAGTGAAAGGTGCAGCCCACTTGGACAAAGACGGCACACCCTCCCAAAGCTCAGGCTCTGATACTGAACAGAAAACCGGTAACTCTGTTGCCTCCCCGGGTTTTAGTGCCAACTACTCCGAGAGCCTGCCCTCTCCCGCCACTAGCGGTGCCTCGCCGCTCACTCCAACCCTGCCAATTCATCGCTTCTCGCCGCTTCCGTCCCCCAAGCCGCCCCCAAGAGGACCCCCGCCTGCCATCCCCGAAGATCAGAAGCGGCACTCCCGCCGTCGCACGGATAGCAGCGAAGCTATCATGCTGGAAGAGAGCTGTGACCCGAAGCGCAACCAGGGTCTTCCTCTTTGGTCGTTCAATTTCGATTGGGACCAGGAGCGCGCTGGTATTGCTACCGTACACTGAATCATGGCCCGGCCTGGAATCATTCCTCCACATTCACTCAAATCTACGTTTCCTATTTTTACCTTTCACTCTCTGTATACCTACACGTCTTCAAGCATTCTTCCACAATCTTTCTCAGCGATTTCCTTGTCTCATGTGCATCTCGGGTACTTCACCTCGGGATTTCCCAACTACATAGACTTCGTGTCTTCTCCTTACACTATTTTTCCATGACCTTATCACTCATGTCTTCCTATCTTGTTTCCTTCTGAATTAGCGTCCAAGTGCAGGTTTCATAAATCCTGCTTTCATGTTTCACCTGGGTGGTTTCCTGTGCCCAACATCCATGCTTTTATATCTCACCATAATACTCCTCAATCGATCAGCCTCTTGCGCAACCTGATCTCCCGATGTCCCGATTTCTCTACGCAGCCCCATAGAAAGATAGTCCCGCTTGACCGGTGTTGCACAAGGGATGTACCAGTTGACACAATAGAACGTGGCTGATATGCAGCAGCAAGCCCAATCAGACGGTGGCTGGCTGGGCCACTGCCGACTGGAGCAACGCACAATGCTGCAACTCTGGTAGATTTACACTATATATGTACTTCGTAGCAGATGGAATACGAAAATACCGACGAATGAGCTCTCAGGAATGAGGGGGCGAGGATACGTGGGCCTGGTGACAGGCCTTGACGTCACAGGCTATAGGGGCTGGGGACCAAATGAATATTTGAAGAATGCCCAAAGGAAACTAGCGAAGCTTGCCCAGCGTGCCCAAGTTGAACATCTCAGTTACTCTGACCTCAAGTCGGACTTGAACTTAGTCTGGACCCGTGACCCACACCGCCCATTCTCCCTCTATAACCCCGGATTGCTACTTTGCTTTGTTATTGCGAGTTCTCTTCATCTCCTTTTTGACCGCCTATTCTCTCCTTCCTTCGCTTCCGTGATCGTCCTCGGAAGCCCTGACATCAGGCCTAAGGGGAGATCTCCAAAACAAGCCCCTGGTTTGCAGATCGGCCACAGCTTGCTCGACGCCTTTTTCCCCAGCTCACTCCCTCCGCTCGCCCTAAGTCTCACATTCGCGACCCGACTGGGTATTGTCTCCCCCTGTCTTGCGGAAACCCATCGCCACGGTTTATAGCTCCGGAACACGCGATCGCGATCTACGATCTTCGTCATGACGGATCGCGCACAACGGCCCTCTGGGTTACGAGCTGTGGCTAACAACGCGCCGTGGGTTTTGGTATGAGTTATCTGTTGGGCATCGTATCGGTGCAGCCCTGGGGTCTATGTTCGTTGCTGACCTGGTCTTCTTATAGCTGACCTCGGAGTCTACTGCGTTTGTACTGGTAAGTGGTTTGTTTGCGCGGCGAAATACATCCTCGTGATGGCATCAATGGCTAACATATGCTTCTACGATCCTCTAGCTAGCCCATTATTCTCGAGTTATGCCCCCCGCCGGCGGGAAACGATACCTTACATCCACGGCCGTCTTCCTAGTCGAAGTCGTCAAACTGGCCATCTCCCTCACAATGGCTCTCTATAACGTTTCGAAAACCGCTCCTCCCTCCATGCCCGCCACTTCCCTATTCTTCTCCCTTACAAGCGCGGTCTTCACAGGCGATAGCTGGAAAATGGCCATCCCGGCCGGTCTAGACGTCTTGTCCAACTCGCTTCTCTACATTGCGCTGTCGAACCTACGAGCTGCGACGTTCCAAGTTACCTTCCAGCTAAAGTTCCTTACAACGGCGATCTTTGGTCTCATGCTTCTGAGACGGAGTATCGCACCCCGGAAGTGGGGCCTGCTCCTGTTGCTCGTGGTCGGCGTGGCGTTGGTGCAGATCCCTGATGCAAGCACCGAGCGGATGCTGCAAGATGACCACGCGAACCACTACTTCCCTCGTTCTCTGGAGGAGTGGAAGGCTGTCAAGCAAGGCTCTGGCTCTGGCAGTAGTCTGCACAAGCGGTCTGCAACGTACGAGGGTATCGAAGAGGATATCTTGACCGCTGACCCGCACCTGAACTCAACTATCGGCCTCCTTGCAACCATCGGTGCGGCTTTGGCCTCTGGGCTGGCGAGTACTTACTTCGAGAAAGTGCTCAAGGACAGCTCGAACCACATCTCGTTGTGGGTTCGCAATGTGCAATTGGCTGTTTACTCCATTTTCCCTGCTCTCTTCATTGGAATCGTTTTCCGCGATGGCGAGAAAATCGCCGAAGATGGCTTCTTCCAGGGTTACAATTGGGCGGTGTGGTCTACCATTGTTATCCAGGCCCTTGGTGGGATTGTCTCAGCCTTCTACGTCAGCCATGCGCAGAAGGATGCAAGGAGCTTGGCGACAACCGTCAATATTATCCTGAGCATTATTGGAAGCATTTGGCTCTTTGACTTTGAGGTTTCTGCAAGCGTATGTCCCTTACCTGTTCAATTCCTTCTCATTGATTCCTTGAGTTTGCAAGGCCTCACCTATGGCTATGAAATACTGACTGCATTAGTTCCTTTTTGGCTCGGCTGCAGTCCTGGTAGCAACTCATTACTACGGAAACCCAAGCTTCACTCCCACAGTTGGTGGCTCTCGCCCGCCTCCAATTCGCGTCGACACCTACGAAAAGGACGTCGGAGGACCTGGCGGCTCGCCCGTGGTTCCCTCGTCCAGCGACTTCTCCATCAAGCTTCCAAATACCCCGTTCCTGTCAGATGGCATATCATCATCTCGTCCTACTTCACCAGCACCTGGCCACGCTAGGGTAAGCTCTAGCCGGAATGTAAGCACAAGCAGCTATTTCGACGAGAAATAATTGACTTCGCGAACATTACATTGCCGGTGTTTTGGGTCAGATTGACATGCCTCTTTTTCACGGGACATGATATTGGATACCTGATAGATGCAGAAACAAATGCGGCGTTTTTCGCATCGCTCGAAAACAACTCTTTGTGACATTCCTTGGTGCTCGGTGCTGGCCCTCTTTATTGGAGCTGGCTGCTTGCTCTTTGCTAGCCTTTTGCATGTCCTCTCGCCGTCCGGGATACCCGATTTTTCTCGGTCTTGGCTCATGTATGCATATATACGAAGCAATGAAACTCTTTCATATACCCCAGATCATTTACAGTGTCTGCTAATTGCTCATAGTCCTTGTCAGTAAACATGAGAAACATGGGTGCGTCCACGTGCCGTCACATGGTCACCTCCCACGGGCCAAACCTACCAGCCCTACCGTAGGAATGTAGTTCATCTCCACCATCTGAGTTGCTCCCAATTACCCAGAAATACAGCCAAAATGCGAAGGAATCATCAACCACAGACTTTCAAACCATTCCAAGGACCCTCCCTAAGGGCCCCAGTTGTATCTTTTCCCTCCTCCCCATCCCAGAGTAGGACCGAAGTCATCGACCAAAGACTCATCGAAGGCTCCCTGCAACCAAGATACAGCAGTCCATCCCCCCAACAGCCTTTCAGTACCCTGGCATCATCTCTCCACGATGAAGATCCGGAATTGGATGCTTTTGGTAATTCTTCCGTCCCAAATATAGGACAGCTGCTGATAGACCTTAAGATCTGGAACTACTAGCTCAGAACGATAGACAAATGGCGATTCAAGATGCAGATCTAGGATTTCGACCGGCTTCTTCACTTCAATTATCCTTCCAGTGTGACCATCAGCCGCAGAATATCTCTCGTTTCTTTCAGCGTGAGTTGGTTGAATTGGTTGCGGTTTGATCCCCCGTGTTTAGCAGAGATTGACATGCAATAGCAAGTTATAGTATCACTCCTCACAGCGGTGATGCGTCTACTCCGTCGGGTATTGGGCCAAGATTACCTTCGAGTCCTTTAGCGCTGTTTCGTCCGAGAAAGGAGGCGAAGCAGATAGAGCAATACAACCTGGAGATGAATCGTGGCCCATATCATGAGGATACTACTCAATCGTCGCCTCAAACTTTGTCTACCCATGTGAGTCCTGGAGCGAAGATTGGCAACCAGCACCGACAAGGGCCTCCCAGTCATATCCCGCCGTCCGTTCGAGGCATCGTGCTCGTTTCCGTGAACGACATACCCGAGAATTATCGCTCGATGTTCACTTTCCCATTGTTCAACGCCATCCAGTCCAAATCCTTTCACGCTGTCTATAACAGCAACGACAACATCGTTCTCTCGGCACCAACCGGCAGTGGCAAGACAGTGATCATGGAACTGGCAATCTGCAGACTCCTCAACACCCTGAAAGACGAACGTTTCAAAGTCGTCTACCAAGCACCCACGAAGTCACTCTGTGCCGAACGATTCAGAGACTGGCACTCCAAATTCTCAAGCCTGAATCTCAAATGTGCAGAGTTAACCGGCGACACGGATCACATGCAACTGCGCGTTGTGCAGAGTAGTCAAATTATCATCACAACTCCAGAGAAGTGGGATAGCATGACTCGGAAATGGAAAGATCACGGGAAGTTGATGCAGCTCGTGAAACTGTTCCTCATTGATGAAGTACACATCCTGAAGGAAACTCGCGGTGCAACCCTCGAGGCGGTTGTATCCCGGATGAAGAATATCGGATCGAATGTTCGCTTCGTGGCGCTCAGTGCTACCGTTCCCAACTCTGAGGATATTGCTACTTGGCTTGGCAAGAATGCCACAAATCATCATGTTCCTGCGCACAGAGAGCATTTCGGGGAGGAGTTTCGTCCGGTTACGTTAACGAAGGTCGTTTATGGGTATCAGTCTACTTTGAATGACTTTGCTTTTGATAAAATCTGTGGCTCGAAGTATGTACACTTTTGTTCCGGGTTCATCGTACTATGCTGACGAGAGATCTATCAGGTTGCCCGAGGTCATCGGAATGCATTCACGCCAAAGGCCCATTATGATTTTCTGTTGTACACGAAACTCATCCCTTTCAACAGCGAAGGAGCTGGCTCGTCTTTGGACGATGACTAACCCACCAGCCAGGCTTTGGAAGGGGCCTGCGAGACCTCTCGATGCTCATAACGATGATCTGAAGAGTATGTCTTCTTTCCATTGACCATTGTACTTCAGATCTAATGACAGGTAGCAACTATCGCCGCCGGAGTCGCATTCCACCACGCCGGCTTGGGACCCGGGGACCGCCACACAGTCGAAGCAGGCTTCAGGGATGGCCACATCAGCGTGATATGCTGTACATCAACCCTCGCAGTGGGAGTCAACTTACCATGTCACCTGGTGATAATAAAAAACACCGTCAGTTGGCAAGACGGGGGCTGCAAGGAATACTCTGATCTAGAGATGATGCAAATGCTCGGTCGTGCAGGAAGGCCTCAATTCGATGACAGTGCGACGGCAGTCATCCTCACCCGAAAGGAACGTGTGAATCATTACGAGAAACTCGTTTCTGGATCTGAGAGTTTGGAGAGCTGCTTGCATTTGAATCTGATTGATCACCTCAATGCCGAGATTGGGCTGGGTAATATCTCCGACATTGACTCCGCTGTCAAATGGCTTGCTGGGACGTTTTTGTTTGTCAGGCTTCGCCGGAACCCCACGCACTACAAGCTCAAAGAGGGTGCGAATCAGGAGGACGAGGATGAACTTTTGCGACAGATTTGTGCGAAGGACATTCATCTCTTGAGGGAGGTTGGGCTTGTTGAAGCTGACAGTCTTTGCTCAACTCAATTTGGCAATGCCATGGCTCGGTACTACATCCGATTTGAGACTATGAAAGTCTTGTTATCATTGAAGCCACGAGCAACACTGTCCGAGACTGTGATATTCTCCCACACCACTGATTTGAACCCGTGCTGACAACTTATATTAGCTCAACGTTATCTCCCAAGGCGACGAATTCCGCGAGATCCGCCTGAAAGGAGGTGAAAAGTCCCTCTACCGCGAAATCAATTGTGACCCAGGCATCCGATTCCCCATCAAAGTCGACATAGCTCTCCCATGCCACAAAACCTCCCTCCTCCTCCAATCCGAACTTGGAGCAATCGACTACCCAGACAGTGATCAGCTCCAAAAGTACAAATTTACCTTCGCCCAAGACAAAACCCTCGTCTTTTCCCATGTCAACCGACTAGTCCGTTGCTTAATCGATTGCCAGATTGCGCGCGGAGACTCAATCGCTATCCTCAATGCCTTGGAACTTGCTCGAAGCTTCGGTGCAAAAGTTTGGGATCATTCCCCTCTCCAGATGAAGCAGATTGAGCAAGTTGGGGTGGTTGCTGTTCGGAAATTTGCTGCTGCCGGTATTACCAGTTTAGAATCTCTGGAGGAAACGGAGGCTTATCGGATTGATATGGTCCTTAGTAAGAATCCGCCTTTTGGGGCGAAATTACTCTCTAGGCTGAAGGAGTTTCCCAAGTTGAGGGTTGCTGTTAGGATGTTGGGGAAGGTTTGTGAATGACTATGGTTTTGCATTTCATTCTTGCTGATGATTTGATATAGGAAGTCAAGAATGGAGGTGTCACTCTTCGGTTCAAGGTTGAGGTTGCGTTCATGAATGATAAGATTCCGACTTTCTTTCAACGACGCCCGGTTTATGTTTGTTGCTTGACCGAGACGTCCGATGGCCGCATGGTTGACTTTCGACGTACTGGTGCGAGCAAGCTCCAGGAACGGTTGGATATTGATCTTTCTGCGGAGTTGACAAGTGCTGAGCAATTTGTTGTTTGCCATGTTATGTGCGATGATATTGGTAAGATGTTCTCTCAGACTTTGGTTTTGTGCTAACGATTATAAAGCTGGAACGGCGAGGCTGGCTGAGCTCAGACCTAAGCTTTCGCCTCTGTCGTTTGCTCCTGTGCGAGGAGGGAATCTCACTGCAACGCAAGCAGGCCACTCAACGGCAAACATTTCTCCTTCAAGCATCCGAGAGATGGTTGCTAGCAGTTGCACGTCGAGACCTCACCAAGATTCGGAAGACCATGTTCAAAAACGGGTCGTGGATGTAGGCAAAGCGACGAGCATGTCTCGCTCAAATGTTTCAGCCGTGGCCAGAAATACTCCCAAATCACGCCGAGACTCCAAGGATTTTGACTTCGATGGCGACGATCTGCAACTAGACGATTTTCTGGCCGTGAATGACCGCTCAAGCAAACCGAAGCATTATTCCAGGCCGACGTTCCAGCCAAATGTTGAGATGGACTGGTTCTCGATCGATACCACTCCAAGTCCGCCCCAGCGAGGAACGAAAGTCTCAACCCCTCGAGACGACGAACGGGCCGTAGACATGAAAGATCAAGAAGACGAGAACCCCGAGCCGATTCGACTTGCTAATGGCAAATGGGCTTGCAATCACAGGTGCAAAGACAAGACAAGGTCTGCGAGATCCATTGCTGTATCCAAGATCTGACTGACGGTCCCAGCTGCAAGCATTTTTGCTGCCGGGATGGCCTGGAGAAGCCTCCGAAGCCTACCAAAAAGCGGTCCATCCCTGCTATCCAGAAGGAGAATGGCCTCAATCAATTGACAATTTCTGACAGTATCACGAAAATTATTCCCACGACCAATTTCAATCCAGGGAGCCAAATGGCAAAGCAACGCACCAGTGAACCCAAGAAAACTGACAATTCCTCTAAGACAAAGAGCTTGACGTCTCAGGTCGGAAAGAAAACTTCAACCCAAGCAAAGTTTGCTCTATCAGATAGAAGCACAAGTATCTTTTCGAGCAAGACCAAGCGAGTGTTGAGCCCATTGAGACTCCATTCGAGTGATTATGGTGATGATGACCTCAACGATCTGATCTCTCCATCACTCCTCCTCGGAGAACCAGGCACCAGCTTCGCAAGACCAAACTCTCCAATGACAGAAAAGCAAACACAACATACCTTCGAAGCTGTCCCCAGCATCGCGAAGAAGCATGCAACATCTTCAGCACCATCTGCTCCTCAAGCTGAGTCCTCTCTTGGAAGCCAAACCAAACCATCAACCCCCAAGACTCAACACGAGGTAATCGAGATCCAGGATGACACTCCCCCAGAATATGAAGAGCAGGCAGTACCAAAACACAGGATTCCTCCAAAGCAGAGCACACTGTCAACGACAATGGAAAGAAATAGGGCCCGCAGCCTGAAACGAAAGCCAAGTCAAATCGAACGCCGGAACGACGAAATCCAGGACCGTTCCAAGCGCAATTCCTCCATCTCTTCTTTTATGATTCAGCCTTTGAAATACATGGCTGGCGAAACACCACTCTCGCTACAGAGGGAGGCGTCTTCTTTCTCTACGCTTGAAGCTGGCGTGGGTTTCACTGCTGAATGGCATAATGATGATACTTCTGATTTGCTTGATAACTTCAAGGATATTATTGATTTTGATTAGGCGATGGATTGTTTGTTCTTTTTTACATTTCCTGTTTTATTCCCCGGGAGATTGTTGTCGGCCGGACTTACTTCTATATGTGATATTGGGACTACATGTCAGTGTCTTACTAACTTATATTTAATTAGCATCTATAATGTTGGCATGGGATAATGTAAGTATATTATAGACATGAATTACACAGGCAATCAGCTATTGGTCAAACTGGATATTCGACAAATCAAGTTCTCCCAGATCTTTCTAGCTAAGTCGGATTCCTTCTGCGAGCCTTGGCAAGGACTTGGCTATTAGACGGTTACTCTGGATGTGCAATTCAACTAAGCGGCTAAAGCAGTGGGGATGTTGAGCATCTCTGATCCGGTAACTCTAGGAAAAAGCATCCATTATTTTGCTAGAATCGCTGCTTGTTGGCTCATGGTCACTGACTTGAGCCACAACTGTGAGATCTTTGGCAGATTTGGAGACTTTGCGGACAAGTTAGCCGCCCTTCACCTTGCGCTGTAAATCAGTTAACATTATACGCAAGTCCGGTGTGGTTACGTACAGAAGAGTAGTTTATGCTGCCAAAAATTGAAACAGTCCGGCCCGTCAATAATAGGGTTTGTTCTACGATGGTTGGATTTGGAGCTGGTCGATGTCGAGATATCCGATATCTTGATGAATTATGTGTGGTGTATCTACAAATATTCCAGGACTGGCTAGCCCTTTTATACCTGAGAGCCCTAATAACAAACATGTAATAGTTTCCCTTGCAACCTCTGAGTAAGTCTATAACAAGATATCACAAAGTATATGTGACGTGGAGGATAGTATCAAGAAGAGCTAAGATGCGAAGTCGGAGCGAACAACAATGCCCATTAACTTGCATTGGAGACATACCAGACTATGAAAGGACTCGCATTGGTATGCCCGCTTGGTTTTGAGATGACTGGACAGCTGTGACATGGACAATGACCCGGTTTGTCTCGTGTTTTGAGTCTTGCAACGACCAAGGCATGAAGGTGGTAAAGGAGAAATCCCATTATGAATAATTCACTAATATAGCTTGCGTAGCTTCATGCTTAGCTCTTGCGTACTATTGATATCATCCTTTGTCTTTTACGTTGGTGTCTCTTATGATAATGCAAAGAAATAAATTGAGGCGGTATAGTACAGTACATTGAATCCGACATGCAACACCACAGATGAAACAAGTGGAATATAACCACAGAAAGGGATCACCCCAGAGTACAAATATAGAACAAGCTCAATCAAATGAGCATCAAGCACCAATTTCAAAGACGACCAGATCAGAAAGGAACCCAGCCTACTCCATCTCCATCCTCTCCCTAACAAGCTTCTTAATCTTCCCAACACGCTCCTGGCCCCCATGATACTCGCGAATCAACTGGGCAGTAGACAACCCCTCCCAGACAGCCTCATCAACAGCCTCCCCCCTCTTAGCCGCCATCTCCATCGCCTCAGCGCGCAAATCAACTTCGCGCCCAAGAATCCTCGCCTCACGACGCACATACTTCTCCGCCCAGCGCGCCTCACGCTCAGCATCCCGTTCCGCACGCGACAAGACAGCCGGCCGCTCGGAGATCCCAACACCGAACGGCGTGATGATACGCTCGACGACGTGGTGCACGTGTTTGCTCTTGGGCGCGCCGGATGAGAACTCGATTACGTCGCCGTCGCGGAGGCTGTTACGCGGGTCCGAGACTAGGTAGTGCGTTTCCTTTGGGTAGTACTTGCCGATGTGGCGGTCGTAGGTGTTGTGTCTGTGGCAGACGCGGACGGTGCGGTCCATCCGGCCGACGGAGACTACTGTGCCGGTTTTCAGGACTGAGGCGTAGTTGCGCAGGCGGGGCGGCACGGTTAGGGTGTTTGGGGTTGCGGTTGTGGGTGTGGATGTGGGTTTTGTGCTTGTTGTCTTTTGGCGGAGTGGAGTTATGATTTGGGTGTTTTGGAGGAGGGTTGGGCGTGTCAGGGACAGTGGTGTCATTGATGCTCGGAGTGGCATTGCGGCCCGGAGGAGATGGTTTGGTGCCATTGTGGTTGGCTTGGGTGGCAGGTGGCTGCTCCCTTGGTGGATTCGGGTTAGGTTGTTGAGAGAGGTTGAGTCGGGGGAGTGGAGCACATGAAATGGGTTGTGGTGGTGATGGTGCTTTCCCAATGGTTGTGAGCTTGAGGTGTTTGCAGTTGAGATTTCGAGAATTTCTCGGGGAAGCATGTTTGCACTGTTTGCACTTGGTAGTATAGATCTCCAGAACTACAGTACTTTAGTCTAAATCCAACATAGCGAAACAGATTGTGAACTGTTCTATTCGGTTGTCTTTCCATTCTATTACTCTTGTTTGGTCGAAATTGAAGAAATTTGAATTTCATGGGCTGTTTCCATGCGGTCCAAGGTACCTCGGCGTGTCAAAACGCCTCAAACGTGTCCTACAAAGCACGTATAAATATCTGAGAAAGATATTGAAGTAATTGACCAGTAGCAGGACAAAAGCAAGCATCGCATTAAAGACCGACATGACGTCGCTGCCACCTGTCCAGATGCTGGAAGTCTCAGCGAACTGCACTGCAACCATAGAACCCCCTTTCCGATCTAGTATACAAAGAGTAATACAGTACATCAAACCCAAGTCAAGTAAAGTCAAGTCAAATCAAACGAAAAAGATTGAGTAGAGAACTTGAGTTTGTAGTCTAAACCGAATAACGTTAACTGTATCGGCAATTATTCCTAGAGACCTTGATCAGGGCCAAATAAACCCCATGCACCCCGTACAAAACGCATAAGAAAAGATAAAACAAAGAGTAAATAAACTCCAAGAAAATAGCATTCGCCTCATCCATGTTCGTGAGCGTATCTAAGTTTCATTCGGAAGGCCGTTCCGATCGCAGCCAGAGAGAACCGGTACTGGCAGCACAGGGTGTCTTGCAAACGTTAAAGATGAACTTATTACGTGGCCTGCTTGGTAACGCCCTCGCCGAGCGGTCTCTTGGATTGGAATTTGTCGGCTGAGTGGGCTGAAATGCGCGTGAGTTCGGTGACAAAGGATTGGCCCCAGAAGGCACTGGCGGATGTTAGTCAAGAATACCGGGGACTGGCTGTTTACTCCTTACCTGGTGTACTTGGACACGTATCTGTCCAACTTGGCAAAATTGAGAGCTCGCTGCTCGTCACTCATAGTCACGGCTTCTTGGTAGGCGCCTGCGAGTTCTTCCGTGTTCCAGGGGTTGACAATGATGCTGCCGTTCAGACTTTGGGCTGCACCGGCGAACTCGGAAAGGACCAAGACTCCGTGGCGCTTTTGTTGTGTGGCAATGTATTCGTAGGCCACCAGGTTCATACCGTCGCGAGTGGACGAGACAATGCAGGCATCTGATACAGCATAGAGCGCAATAAGTTCGTCGAAGTTGACGGACTTGTGCAGGAAATGGATAGGCTGGAATTCGACCGTGCCTTGGATTCAATTAGCCATTGCTAAGCTCAAAATTGAGAGACAGTACTTACCGAACTTTCCATTGATCCGACCAACCAGTTCATTTACCACAGCTCTCAGGTTTTGGTACTCCTCGACATCCTGTCGACTAGGAACAGCAACTTGTACCAGAACAACCTTTCCAACCCATTCTGGGTGGTCGCTGAGGAATACCTCGAGTGCATGAAGCTTCTGAGGTACACCCTTGATGTAATCAAGACGGTCAACACCGACCATCAACTTGACGCCCTGGAACTTCTGTTCGAGGGTGGCAATGCGCTTCTGGACCTTCTCCTTCTTTAATCCTTCTTTGAACTTCTCCGGGTCAATTCCAATGGGGAATGCCCCGCAGGTGATAATCTTGCCCTGGAATTCAATTCCATTAGGTGTAGTGGCAAGGCCGCTGGTTCTGTTAGCAACAACCCACATAAACCCGAAAGAGTTAAACTTACAGCAGGCGCGAGCAACTGCTCAAGAAATGACGGGTGTAATCGTAAGTGTGGAAACCGATGAGATCGCAATGGAGAACTCCCAAAAGCAATTCATTGCGCACGGGCAGAATCCGATAGATTTCACTGCTAGGGAACGGAGTATGCAAGAAGAAGCCAATTTTGACATTCTTTTTGCTGTCACCGATCTCCTCGCGAAGCATCTCAGGAAGCAGCATCAAGTGGTAGTCGTGAACCCAGATCAAGTCTCCATCCTCCACTTCCTTGCTGATGGCCTTTGCGAACAGACGATTGGCTTCTTTGTAGGCCTCCCAGGCAGACTCGTCGAAGGTGATTTCACCGGGGTGGTAATGGAATAGCGGCCAAAGAATGGAGTCTATGCAAAAGTCGGAATATCAGTATATATGCGACTAGCTCTGCGGGGATCAGCTACTCACTTGAGAATCCATTGTAGTGGCGGTCTGCCAGTTCGTCGTCAATGAAGACGGGTATAGCGCCGTATTCTTCCTTCAGGCGCTGTTTGACCACTGGGATCTCGGGCTCGGGGACCTCCAGACCGGGCCAGCCGTACCACTGGAAAGTGGTGGATTTGGATAGACCACTCAGCCCGCTGACCAGCCCTCCGGAGGACATGGAGAAATCGTACTTTCCATCTTCGGATCGCTTGATGGTGATCGGCAGGCGGTTGGAAACCAGAAGCAGACGTGCCTCATTCTGCTTCGGCTCTTCCTCAATGGAAGACATGACGGGAATTCGGGGATCGGAATGCGAATACGGAGAGGTGAGTCGGTCGGTGAACAAGGTGCCAGGTTCAGGCCAAGCTGTAGTTCCAGCTATGCGAGGAGAAGATCAAACCCTTCAGGAACAACGCAAGATGATCTGGAGAAGGAGCAGGTAGCTACCAAGTGCCATTAACCAAGGAAAAAAGTCTTGGAGGGGAAAGGCGGAAAGTCAGCAAGGGCGGGGAGCCAAGTGAGGTCACCCCGAACAAACTTGGAAATGCGGTGGAGTGCTTCAATAACAATTACATTAGTGAAAGCAGGGAAAAGAGGATTGATGAATTTATACGAGTTATTAGCCCTGGAAGGTCTACTTTCTGACAGACAGGGCTAAGGGCATCTCAGCCCAGCCAGTCACAGCACATTCGCCCATCCCCAATGACCGAGCGCTGACGTCGCTGGCCTTACGTAAGGCAATGGCGATCTATAAAAAGGATCGATTTAATAGCTAAGTTGGATAGCTATACATGATACCTTCAAGAGACGACAGACTCAGAGTTACAAAGTGCCAGAATAGCCAGGGTATCCGCGACTCCGAGCGATATACACATTGGCTAAACGTCATGATTCAGATGCCTAAACCCAAAAACCCGGAACCAAACACTGCAACGTATCTACACATCCAACAACCTATCACCATGAAACCTCATATTCACAAAGCAGACCTCCCACCCAACCTCCACCCCCCAGACCCCTCATCATGAACCGTCCTCCCCTCCCCCTCCAACTTCATAAGAACCTGCAAAACACCATTAGAAGCAGGCAAATGCAAACTCTCAGGAACATCCCGATAAATACACCGAACAAGCTCGATAGGCGACCACGCCTTCTTCCGCTCCGGTGAGCTCTCCCCATCTGTAACATCAAGCTTGCCATACCGCAGTACACGCAGCACCTCATCTTCCCGCTGTTGTCGGTGCTTGATGTACTCCGTGATGCGTGTACTGGTGTTTTCCAGTACGGCGCCGTGTCCTGGATAACCACGTCCTGTGGAGACACGGTCGCGCATCCGGTGCAGGCTTTGGAGGTAGGTTTTTAGATCTTGGAAGACGGCTGTGCCGTGGCCGAGGACGTCTGGGTTTCTGTTAGTGTATGTTTATGGTTACTGGGCAGATTGAATGGAATGGGAATGAAATACTCACTATCACCCGTAAACATAGCTCCCTCCTCTTCAAGCATGAAAACCATATGGTCAACTGTATGGCCAGGCGTATGGAACGCCGTCAAGGTAGCACCTTCAACGGAGAAGACCTGGCCTTCCGTGATATCAGATTGGCCATCGTCGGGATCATTCTTGAAGATCTGGGCATTGGGGCAAATCTTTAGTAGATCGGGCAGTCCGTTGATATGGTCGTGATGCCAGTGTGTTAGGAGGGCTTGGTGGACTGTGGCTTTCTCTTCTGTCAGGAGCTTTTGGAGGTTTGAGGCCCACGTCGGTTTGCCTTCGCCTGTGTCGATTAGGATTCTTTTGTGGCCGCGGCCGATTAGGTATGTATTTGTTCCTATATTCTATTAGGATTGGATTGGAGGGGTGTTGGGTTGGTTGATGTTGTCACCTTGGAGTGTGAACTGGATTGGGTTGGGTTAGCTTGTTGGTCTAGTGCTTTGATGCACGTACATGTACTCACCTTTCCTGGGTTTCCGCCTAGGATTCGAATGACTGAGGCGCTGAGGCGCTCCACTTCGGGGAGTTGGACAAGTTGTGTGGCCATGTTTGAGATGAATGGGAGCCTAGATACTCTGGTCAAGTGGAAGGTAAGGTAGAGACCAATCGGTGATCAGTTATTATTAAAGATGTTTAGACTTTGGTGTAGATGATTTGAGAGAGCTGCCAGGGACAATGAACTCGTTTATCGAGACAAGTTCCTTCCCGATGACTCCGACTGTCTATGGTTTTATATTGAAGAGAGTTGCAACGCGGGGTGCGATAGACCTCGGTAGCTTATCTCAGCTTTGTCCGAGGTGCATAAACTGGCCGGATGTCGTTATGTAGATGGACTTGAGTTTACAATTTACAAAATCAGTTATGGGAGTAAAGAAGTAAACAGGAAATTGTGTATGCATGCCATTCCTAACATACAAAAACAGAAATCAGAGTATATCCATTGAACCCACCCAAATATCGGGAATCAACGCAGAAAACACAGGATCATTCATAATTTTTCCCAGGGCGCAACTCCTCATACCCTGCTCGAAAAAGACACGCGCACCACAGACAATCCATTATAATGGGCCGTCGCGTCACACCGTGTTTCTCAGAAGCATGTATCTGAATTGTTCAACACGCAAGAGAAACGTAGTTTACACAGGTACCTGGGTAATAACCAAGGCACTTGAAGGTTTTAATTGTTGAGAGTCATGAAAGAGGGAACCATTTAAGCCTTGCGGGCCATGGTGTTGAGGGCAGAGCCGTCGTGGAACCACTCAATCTGGGACTCGTTGAAGGTGTGGCTGAGGGAGACGTCGAAGGCGGGGGCACCGGACTTGGGGTGGACACGGAGAGTCATGGGCTTGCCAACCTCGAGCTGGGTACACAGGAGGTCGACCTTGTCCTCGGGCTTGATCTTGTCGTAGTCGGCGGGGTCGGTGAAGGTCAGAGGAAGCATACCCTGCTTCTTCAGGTTGGTCTCGTGGATACGAGCGAAGGAGCGGGTGATGATAGCGAGACCACCGAGGTGGCGGGGCTCAAGAGCAGCGTGCTCACGGGAAGAACCCTCACCGTAATTCCAGTCACCAATGACAACCCACTTGATACCGCGGGCCTTGTAGTCACGGGCGGTGGCGGGGACAGCGTCGTATTCGCCAGTGAAGGCGTTCTTGACCTTGTTGGCCTCACCGTTCTCCTCGTTGATGGCACCGATCAGCATGTTGTTGGAGATGTTGTCCAAGTGGCCACGGTACTTCAACCAGGGGCCAGCCATGGAGATGTGGTCAGTGGTGGTCTTGCCCTGGCACTTGATGAGAATGGGGATGTCAGTGGCATCCTTGCCGTCCCAGGCGGGGAAGCCCTCGAGGATCTGAAGACGGTCACTGCTGGGGGAGACGGCAACGCTGACCGAGGCACGGTCAGCGGGGGGAGCCTGGTAGGTGTCACGGCCAGCATCGTAGCCACGGCTGGGAAGACCGTCACCGGTGGGAGCCTTGAGCATGAAGTCGTTGCCATCCTTGTCCTTGAGGGAGTCGGTGATGGGGTTGAAGTTGAGGGTACCGGCAACGGTCATGGCAACGACCAGGTCGGGGGAGGCGACGAAGGCGTGGGTGGCGGGGTTGGCGTCGTTACGGCCAGTGAAGTTACGGTTGTAGGAGGAGATGATAGAGTTGGCCTCACCCTTCTTCACGTCCTTACGGTCCCACTGACCAATGCAAGGACCACAGGCGTTGGCAAGGATGACACCGCCGTACTCCTCGAGGGTCTGGAGCTGACCATCACGCTCGATGGTAGCGCGAATCTGCTCGGAACCGGGGGTAACGGTGAAGAGAGACTTGGACTTGAGGCCGTGGTCGAGAGCATCACGGGCGATGGAGGCAGCGCGGGACATATCCTCGTAAGAGGAGTTGGTGCAAGATCCGATCAGACCGACCTTGAGCTCCTCGGGCCACTTGTTGGTCTTGACAGCCTCCTTGAACTTGGAGAGAGGGGTGGCAAGATCGGGGGTGAAGGGACCGTTGACGTGGGGCTCGAGCTCAGACAGGTTGATCTCGACGAGCTGGTCGTACTGAGCACCTTCGTCCTCACGGAGCTGGGCGGCGTACTCGCGGGAGAAGTCACCAATGTGCTGACGCTTGGTGGCCTTCAGGTAGTCGTACATGCGGTCGTTGAAGGGGAAAATGGAGGTGGTAGCGCCAATCTCGGCACCCATGTTACAGATCGTACCCATACCAGTGCAAGACAGGGAGTCGACACCGGGACCGTGATACTCAATGATGGCACCGGTACCACCCTTGACGGTGAGGAGACCAGCGACCTTCAGGATGATATCCTTGGGGGTGGTCCAGCCGGACATCTGGCCAGTGAGGCGGACACCAATGACGTTGGGGGCCTTCAACTCCCAGGGGAGACCAGCCATGACATCGACGGCATCAGCACCACCGACACCGATGGCAGCGGTAGCGAGACCACCAGCGTTGGGGGTGTGAGAGTCAGTACCGATGATCAGACCACCGGGGAAAGCGTAGTTCTCCAGAACGATCTGGTGAATGATACCGGAACCGGGCTTCCAGAAACCGATGTTGTACTTGGCAGTAGCGGAGGCAAGGAAGTCGTAGACCTCCTTGTTGATCTCGTTGGCACGAGCAAGATCCTTGTCACCACCAATCTGGGCCTCAATCAAGTGGTCACAGTGGACGGTGGTGGGGGTCTGGACAGAATCCATGCCAGCGGACATGAACTGGAGGATAGCCATCTGGGCAGTGGCGTCCTGGCAAGCAACGCGGTCAGGGCGGAGCTTGAGGTAGGAGGCACCACGCTGGATGTCCTGTCCATGAGGATCGTCAAGGTGAGAGTAGAGGACCTTCTCGGCGTAGGTGAGTGGGCGCTGAAGACGAGAACGGACAATGTCAAGGTTCTCGGACATCTTCTTGTAGTTGATGTAGTGGCCCTATCCTGAATTAGTCGACTGGATAGTGGAACTTGCGGCTAGCCACTCACGGTTTCGTGGTTGGTCATCTCGACCTTCTTGTCGAGGGGGTCATTGCCAATAGTAGCGTAGGCCCGGGTCCCGAAAAGCTGTCCCAAATGTTAGTATCTGCAGGGTATGACGATCCACGCCAATAGCTATGTGTGCCACGTGTGGCTGGAGCTTGATGGTGATGCTTACAAGACGGGACTTGGAGGCCTATTCACGCAGCGAATTAGCTTTAGATTCATCAAAATTGTATTGTTTCGAGGTTGGCAGGATGCCACTCTCGCGGCCGCGACGAGCCGAGGATATGGGGAATAGACTTACCAGCGCACCGGCGCGCGCAAGGCGGGTAGAGATCATGATGGAAGCTCTATAAGATGAGATAGTACATCCAAGAGCTAGTAACCACCTTCAAAGTGAGAGTGGAGAGTGAGAGAGGAAAGAAAGGAAGGAAGAATTGGACAAAAGCTTGCTTTTGAGTGGGAGAAAGATTCTACGGGGCCCGAGACAAGAGCCGTAACCGCTTGTTACCCCGGCGATACAGTACGGTATTGGAGCTAAGCCTCCCGCATGCGACGGCAAAGCGACTAACATAGTCCAACATAGATGCTTCCGACAATTATCGAGTCTTAGGAATGGGATAGTGCCTATTTCAGACTACTTACTTTCATTCTAACCTGACTGTCCTAATTCTACCTACATTCTCATGTGAATACTCTCAAAGAGTGTAATGGCGATACCAGACATGTGACGGGTATAATTCGGCCACCAATCATGGCATTCCCAATTACATCCCCCTTCCCCCAGTTCGGACCAAAGGCAAAGAAGATCAACTCGGCCTGTTATTCCGGCATGTGGTTTGATCTGATACACATGTAATGTACTTCATTGGTGTTTCAACAGTACCCTGAATAGCCCCTGCTATATTGCTATATTAGAATATACTATACACTGGGAACATATAAGATCAGGATATACGGAGCAATATACCGCATGCAGACGTCATATAATACAGCGTAAACCGATGACGCTGAGCCGAGGCGTGCCGACGGCAATCCCGCATCGTCGCCAAGCTGCCGCCTTTGGGAAGCAGCCAACCACAGCCCAGGCGTTTCAATCGGGGCCCGTGACCCACAGTCAGCGGAAATTTCGTCCCTCACAACTGAACTCGAAAGACCCGCTTTGTCATTCTTTCACTCCGGAAATCGGTAGTATCTTTTTTTTTTCACTTGCATCTACTGTACTGTTTGACCGGCTCATCCGAGGTTGTCGGCTACAATGGGTGCTCTCAGAAGAATCAAGACCAAGCGTCGCACAAGGTATGTCAATATGGTACTAACCCTTGTGTTCCCTACATCCATGCAAATGAGATGTGTGTGCTAACTTCCCTCCAGAGACTACGACCAGGTCCTCCGGGATATCGACTCGCCCCGTCACCTCGAGATCTTCAAGGAGACCAAAGATGCTGAGGATTTGCCTGGTCTAGGCAAGCACTACTGCCTGGAGTGCGCCAAGTGGTTTGAGAGTGATTACAACCTCAAGGCACACACCAAGGGCAAGAACCACAAGAAGAGGTGAGTGTGCATAAGTTGTGGTCCGTCGCATGTCTCAGACCGCATATCTAACATGCCATGCACCTGTCAGACTCAAGATCCTCAAGGAAGAGCCTCACAGCCAGGAACTCGCCGAACGTGCCATTGGACTCGGTGTCCCGGACAACGGCAAACGATCCAAGGAGAACCCCGACGCGATGGAGGATTAAACAAAGCTCGACTTCGACCTACCGGGAAAACAACAAAAAGAAGCAATTCTCTGCTACGCGACCACGACTCTCTTTTCAGCACCGAACATAAGTTTCCATCTCTAGACTGTTGATTTTCCTAGAGTCACGTGCGGCACTTTTTTTATATTGCCGATACTCGCCGGGTTTCCGCTCTTCCGGTTTGCGGGTGACTTGAAACTGCCGACAGTCGGCGAAAACGGGCTGGAAATTTACCCCCTAGCAATACTTCCGAGTAATTCCAATAGAAATCCCTCAATACCAAATAGAATCTAACCTGAATGGGCTTTCGGTATGTTCGGTTTGTAGATTGTCTTCACTTCTACGTGTGGGGGTTCTATCCATGTACACTAGCTTCATATCCCCGGTTGCAACTTCACTTGTGTACCCAATTGGTTGAAGCTTTTCATGAACCATTCATATGCCGCCCACTATATCCAAGATTAGTCGCTATATCACGATTCACAAAGGGAGGGAATATACCTGTACAGCATTCACAATAAATGCTCGAACACTGCAAACCCCAAGACCACGGTAGAATGCCTTGACACCCTCGGCCCGATATGTTTCCTTGGCAATCTGGAAAGAGCTCAAGGTCCGACGTCCTAACAAAGCCTGGGTCTCGGTGAGGTGGCCATGGTCCCCAATGGTCTGCGCCTGCAACCTCGTCTTAATCATATCCAAGGGGAAAACCGAACCCCAAGTAACAACACCAGCAACACCCCCACAAAGCAAAATATTCATAGCGGATTGATATGCACCATCATCATCAGAATTTATAAATCGTTTGCAAAGTTCGTAAGACCAAAAACTGTCACGGATCAGTCAGTAAAACATATTCTGTGAAAAATATATATCTATCCACCGGGGTATAGATCCGGGGGTGGCGTGGGCGTTTCCATACTAGAATCCATAGCCAATTGCATCTCTGGCGCTAGTAATACCTCCACCAAAGTAAAGACCACTCCAGCCGCGCGTACGGATGATATCCTTAGCCACCGCCCACGATGACACCTCGGCCCGGGGATCCAGCTGCGCTCGACACTTGATGAATTCCGTTGGTGATGAGATTGTCCAGCTGGCCAGTCCGCCTGCGGCTCCGGCAAGCCAGATCTTGTACGGTGAGACACCGACTGGACTGGTAGGGTCTGTTATGGAATTGTCCAGGGCTGTAAGTGATCGGTTGTATGCCACGAAGAGGATGGCGTTGAGAGCTCCATATCCTAAGATTGGAGCGGCAGCACCTAGGGTATAATGTTAATTACTGAGGTTTGATGCTGTGGTTTGAGTGTGTGGTGCAAGTTAACACAGACCTCGGACTAGTGAGGTTGCTTTTTCTAGGCGGGTTAGATGTGTTGGTGATGCAGCTGCATGCACATCTCCCGCCTGCAGCCGGACTTTGATGACATCAAGAGGATTTCCGATAATTATTCCCAGTGCTCCGCTTAGGTAGCCAGCCCAGAAGTCGGAAGTCATGGGAATCCAATCTGGATCCGAGTGAGAGGAATGGAATGTTCACATCCAAGTCCATTTATGCCCGAAGCTCCCCCGGCTTTCTAGTAGCGGGGGTTGCCCCTCGGCATATCACGTGGGGCCGTGTCTATTTGGTGTAGGCAGACGCGAGGCAGGATCGCGTCGATTTCCGACTCATCCACCACCAACGACTTTGGGGCTGTTTGAAGTTGTTTTTGTGTTTTTGCATATTTCCTTTTGGCATTAGATCAATGTAAGGCATTTTGGATTTATCGACGTGTTTCTTTGCTAACACTGACATCCCAGGTATCGACCACGACCGGCTGGTGGCGAGGGCACGCTCAAAACACCCTTACAACCCAAATCCGTGAACTCAATCGACCGTCTCGCAAGACCATTTAAATGTCCTGGTTCGGCGACGCCTACGCGAGCATCTGAGAAACCGTCGAGGAAGAAGCGCAAGGTTAATTATGCCAATGCTGATGGGAGCGTGGAAGATGGAACGGAGAAACCATACACGAATGAAGACCGGCTTGCATTGGCGACGAGGGAGGTCAATAAGTTTCCGGTGTTTAAGCCGCGGGACAAGGATAAGGCGTTTCGATCGCGATTCCAGATCCCGTTCATCAATAAAGCCGGAGATGGCTACAATGCTGGCCGGGCTGCTCCGACATTGGGCATGAGACAGGGTGCGACATTTGTTGTTAAGCCGCTACATGATCCAAGTGGAGAGTTTGCGATCGTCTTGTACGACCCTACGGTAGATGACGTCCCTGCCGAGCCTGAGCCTAAGGCTTTGGAGGCGCCGACCGAAGAGAAGCCAGAATTGGATGAGCCGATTGTGCATAAGAGTCTGGCAGATATTCTGGGGCTTAAGAAGGATGTGGTGGATCGACCGAAGGTCCCGGTTGTGATTGATCCGAGACTTTGCAAAGTGCTACGGCCACATCAAGTGGAGGGTGTGAAGTTTCTATATCGATGTACCACTGGGCTGGTTGATAAGAATGCAAATGGATGCATCATGGCAGACGGTATGGGTCTTGGGAAAACACTTCAATGCATTGCATTGATGTGGACACTTTTGAAGCAGTCATCTGAGGCTGGAAAAACAACTATTCAGAAATGTGTGATTGCATGCCCGTCAAGTTTGGTCGGCAATTGGGCCAACGAGTTGACAAAATGGCTTGGAAAGGACGCCACGACCCCCTTCGCAGTGGATGGAAAGGCATCAAAGACAGAGCTCACTGCCCAGATCAAGCAATGGGCTATCGCATCAGGGCGTGGCATTGTCAGGCCTTGCCTTATTGTGTCTTATGAGACGCTCCGTATGTATGTTGATGCGTTGAAGGATGCACCAATTGGACTCCTTCTGTGCGACGAAGGACATCGACTTAAAAACAAAGAAAGCTTGACATGGACTGCTTTGAACAGTCTGAACGTTACTCGCCGAGTAATTCTTTCCGGAACGCCCATTCAGAATGACTTGTCTGAGTACTTCGCTCTACTTCATTTTGCCAACCCGAATCTGCTCGGTTCGCAGGCCGAGTTCCGGAAGAGATTTGAGCTGCCGATTCTGCGAGGTCGAGATGCCGCAGGTACCGACGAAGAGAAGAAGCTGGGTGATGAACGTCTGCAGGAGCTCTCCGGTATTGTCAACAAATTCATCATTCGCCGAACCAATGAGCTCCTCTCCAAATACTTGCCAATCAAGTATGAGCATGTCGTGTTCTGCAATATGTCCCAGTTCCAGCGGGGTCTATACGACCATTTCATCCAAAGCCCTGAGATTCGAAGCCTTCTCCGTGGTAAGGGTAGTCAGCCGTTGAAAGCAATTGGCATTTTGAAGAAGCTTTGCAATCACCCTGATCTCCTTGATCTTGGAAACGATCTTCCGGGGTGCGAGCATACATTCCCCGAAGACTATTCGCCCCCAGATTCTCGGGGTCGTGATCGAGAGGTCAAGAGTTGGTATTCTGGAAAAATGATGGTGCTTGACCGCATGCTAGCCCGGATTCGACAAGACACAAACGATAAGATCGTTCTCATCAGCAACTACACCCAGACGCTGGATCTATTTGAAAAGCTTTGTCGATCGCGTGCGTATGGTTGCTTACGACTTGACGGCACAATGAACATCAAGAAACGCTCGAAGCTGGTAGACAAGTTCAACGACCCAGATGGTCAAGAATTCGTGTTTCTTCTGAGTAGTAAGGCTGGTGGATGTGGTCTGAACTTGATTGGTGCCAACCGCCTGGTACTGTTCGATCCCGACTGGAACCCAGCTGCTGACCAGCAAGCGCTGGCACGAGTGTGGCGTGACGGTCAGAAGAAGGACTGTTTCGTCTACCGTTTCATTGCAACTGGTTCGATTGAAGAAAAGATCTTCCAGCGCCAGTCCCACAAACAGTCACTATCATCGTGTGTCGTCGACTCTGCAGAAGATGTCGAGCGTCATTTCTCTTTGGATTCCCTGCGTGAACTCTTCCAGTTCAAACCCGACACGCGCAGTGACACCCACGATACCTTCAAATGCAAACGGTGCCGACCCGACGGCACACAATACATCAAGGCCCCGGCTATGCTGTATGGTGACACGAGCTCGTGGAACCATTTGATTAATACTGGCGAGAAGGGGCCTCTCAATCAAATCCAGGATCTGTTATTGAGACAGGAGACCGGAGAACAGGATGTCTCTGCTGTTTTCCAGTACATCAGTCATTGATAGTGGCAGTTTTGGGATTCTATTACAATTATTGGCATTTGGTCAGTTTGTATGTTTTGGAGCGTATCTATTGGAAGCGAGCGATCATGATCATAGACGAATTCGGGATTTTAATACATATCAAATGAGCTTTCACTGTTCCTATCTCTCAATATCGTAAGAGGTCAGTAATAAAAGTTAAGTAGACTTTCTTGTTCTTTTGCTTGCATCCGTGGCCATAGAGTTGGTTGAAATTCTAGGTCTTGTGCACTTGCTCGCCGACACCGTAGTGAACAAGATTCAAGCATCATCTGTAGAGTAGTAATCTGCCAGTGCGGCATACATAAATCTCGGTCTGGAAGTGTAAGTGTCAGTAGGGACTGTAGCTGCCTGTCAGTTGAAGTTTGATAAACAAAGGGCGGTCAATGCAGCTCAAGTCCAGACCCGCTGCTGACATCACACTCTCCGCGTTGACAACGCATCTGTTTTCAACACTTTGACCTCACTCCAAAGTCGATCTGGGCCTTATCTGACTTGTGGCGTATGAAAACCGCCCTCGTGACTGTGTTACCCATTTCAGCGCGTCCCTTTCACTATGACCATTGCTTAGCCGTAGCCGGAGGAGAACCCGCATCACACGCGATTCGGAGCGATGGATCAAACGATCCAGCGGTTGCTGAACGACAAGCTCTATGACAAAAGGAAGCAGGGAGCTTTGGAGTATGTTAGGCCTGAGGTCCCAAGCTACAGCGATGAGCCAAGACGTATACTGACCGATGATGTTTTGACAGGCTAGAGAAAGTCGTCCGCGACGCCGTTTTCCAAGGAGAGCAGGAGAAAATCCAGAAGATCGTTGAACAGCTTTGTCACGACTATGCCTATGCTGTGCACCAGCCCCACGCTCGGAATGGAGGGTTGATCGGTTTGGCGGCTGCCTCGATCGCTCTGGGATCGGTGAGTTCGATATAACCATGCACTGCGGGGAGATGGTACTGATACCGGGTATAGGAAGGGGTTGCTCCGTACTTGGGTGAAATTGTTCCGCCTGTGCTGGCGTGCTTTTCGGACCAGGATGCGCGAGTGCGGTACTATGCTTGCGAGAGCATGTACAATATTGCTAAGGTCGCCAAGGGAGAAATTCTGCTTTTCTTCAATGAGATCTTTGATGCTTTAGCTAAGGTGAGTGTCGATATTTGAGGTGGGGTGTTGCATAGCTAATAGGCGGCATAGCTTGCATCGGACTCGGAACTGTCAGTCAAGAATGGCGCGGAGCTTCTGGATCGGCTGGTGAAGGATATCGTGGCTGAATCGGCGGCTTCCTATGTGTCTATTCTACAACTATCTGAGAAGGATCGAACGGATCCGGACGCTTTGGATGACCCCGACCTTCCTACTGCGTTCTCTCTTGCGAGATTTATCCCCTTGCTCCAGGATCGCATCCATGTGATCCAGCCGTTCACCCGCAACTTCTTGGTTTCGTGGCTTACTCTTCTAGATACAATTCCTGATCTAGAGCTTGTCAGCTATTTACCGGATTTCTTGGAGGGATTGATAAAGTTCCTTGGCGGGCCTAACAAAGACGTTAATGTTGCGACCCAAAACCTTCTCGATCGATTCTTGGCGGAGATCAAGAGGATTACACGACTGAAGAAGGGGATTGAGGAAAGCCGGAAGGGTCAGAAAAGCAACAGACACTCCGCTGCCAGTGACGCCATGAGCGTCTCGACCGAGCAGAATGTCAACGCCGATGGAGCAAGTGATTCCAAGGGTGACATCGCCGTTGAGGACTCGGACTCGGAGTCAATCTTCGATGGGGAGATCGTTCAAGCCGACGGGGACTGGATCCCCGGACAGGATGTACAGATCGATCATCCCAAGATCCTTGGCATCCTTGTCGGCTTTGTAAACACCACCTATGAGGAAGAAATGCAACTGACGGCCCTTCGTTGGATTGATGCTTTCTTTGAAATCAGCCCGGAGGATATTTTGCCTTTCGTTCCGCGTCTTCTGACCCAGGTGCTTCCAGCGATGTCTAGTGGCTCAGATGGAGTACGACAAGCAGCAAACCAAGTCAACAAGTCACTCCTCGAGTATATCTATTCTCTATCTGATGATACAACTGAGGAGACTCAAGCCTCATCGAAGATTCCATCTACCACTGCCAGCAAAGAGACCATAGAGCGAAGGTCATCTACGCCCGGAGTCAGACCCTCGGAGACGGCGAGCATCGATATCAGAAAGCAGTCAGCGCAGGAAGCATCCGTTGCAGCCACACCACGAAGCAGCGTTGTTTCCACGCCCCTCCCTACTGCCGACCTTGATTACGCCGCTGCTGTTAACTCCCTCACATTACAATTCCTCAACGAGAACGAAGCTACGCGAGTGGCAGCTCTTTCGTGGCTTATCATGCTACACCGCAAAGCACCTCGAAAGGTCGTCGCGTTCAATGATGGCACCTTCCCGGCATTGCTGAAAACGCTATCAGACCCTGCAGAGGCTGTTGTAACCAGGGATTTGCAGCTTCTTTCACAGATCTCCAGAAACAGCGAGGATAGCTACTTCACTTCTTTCATGGTGAATCTACTGCAGCTGTTTTCTACTGACAGGCATTTGCTTGAAGTGCGCGGAAATTTGATTATAAGACAGCTATGTTTGAACTTGAGCCCGGAGCGTATCTACCGGACTCTGGCAGACTGTCTTGAAAAGGAGGAAGTATGTGAACTGATTTTCTACGACGTTCTATGCTAACAGGCGCAGGATCTCGAATTTGCCAGTATCATGGTGCAGAATTTGAACAACAATCTCATCACTGCGCCAGAGCTCTCGGAGTTAAGAAAGCGCTTGAGAAATCTCGATTCAAAAGTAGTACCGCCCCCCCGAACGTTTATACTTTGTACCGAGGCTCACAAGTTGTTCAGGATGGGCAAATGTTTTTTGTTGCTCTGTTCAGGTCATGGTGCCACAACGCTGTGTCCACCTTTTCTCTCTGTCTTCTTGCTCAAGCGTATGAGCAGGCATACAACCTACTTCAGATCTTGTCAGTGCACCAGTTCTTTGGATTATGGTCTCCTGCTAACACTAGCACAGTGCCGAACTCGAGATGACAGTCAACATGCTGATTCAAATCGATAAGCTGGTGCAACTCCTTGAGTCTCCAGTATTCACCTGTATGTCTCTTCTATCTTTTAATAATCCAAAAACTAACAGATATACAGACCTCCGCCTCCAACTTCTGGAACCCGAAAAATATCCCTATCTCTACAAATGTCTCTACGGCGTCCTCATGCTCCTCCCCCAGAGCTCCGCCTTCGCAGCCCTCAAAAACCGCCTGAACAGTGTCAGCAACATTGGCTTCCTCCACAGTGGCCCCCGCAGGTATGGACCCCGCGAAACTCCCCGCTCACCTGTGTCCCCCATGAAACTGACTGAGGCCCAACCCCCCAGCACCGCTCAAACCGCCCCATCATCATTCGACCGGTCCTCCGGCACACGCCTCAAAACCCGCGACGAGAACACCATCCGCTGGGTTGACCTCCTCGACAAGTTCAAATCCGTCCAGGAACGCGCTCGCCGCTCACAGGCTTCCCAGCGCCATTCCCTCGACCCCTCGGATACCCTGCTCAACCCTACCCTCACCGCTGCACTCTCTGCCGCCGCTGCTGATAGGTCCAAGGATCGATCCGGTCTCCCTGATGCTCCGCGCGGTGCTCCGGCTATGAATCCTACTGGTAATGCTGGAGCTGTTGGTCCTGGAATTGGCAATGCTGCCGGTCGTGGGTTGGATAGTGGTGTGACGAAGACTGTTATTCCGGGCCCATCCCATAAGCATAAGTCGAGTCTTCCTAACCTGGGACGGTTGGGTATCGGAGGGCGGAAGAAGAAATAGGGGGTTTGCTGGTCCTTTCCATGCAAAGCTTCATTGTTCCTTATACTTACTTAACTGGAGATACCCAGCATGCGAGGTTTCTTTGGACAATAGCCTTTTTTTCATTTACCATTAGCAATGGAATCACTCCTTATGGCAATGCTTCAATATAGATTTAGGATGTAGCCATGTTTTATATCGATACTCGAAATACAGAAGGTATAGATAAGAGCCAAATCATAAATATTTCGAACATTCAGTCCCAACATGAAGACTATAAACGAAGAAAATCAAAGTAAAAATGCAAAGAGAAAGAGAAGTAGAACACATCACAGAATTAGCACATCTAACCCAAATGACTTTGGGTAAAGAGTATACTTTTTTTTCAAGTCGGTTTCCCGGCACATGGAGCACATGAGACAGACCATAAACAATCCCAACAAAAGTGGGAAAGAAAGAAGCAAAAGACATGGAGACTATACAAGAACCCAAAATTCGTCGAGACTCCGCGGAAGCATCACGCGAAGAGTGAAAGTAACAAAAAAGAAGAAGAGAAAGGAAGGAAAGGAAAATGCTAAAACGAAACAAAAACGGCGCTAATAACCCCGCGTAAATGGCTCAGGCAAGACCACAGAGGTAGAAGAGTAAATATAGAGCTCAGCTCATCCCTCACCGTGAAGCTTGGCTACTGCCACTCCCCCACCCCGTGGGCCGCCAGCTACCGGTAGAGTGTTTCGAGACGGTACTGGTAGGCGAGTTCGCACCGGTTGAGTAGACATATTCGCCGTCGACGTATTGCGCGCCCGTGGAGAAGGTGCTGCGGTGCTTGCGGCGGGCGTAGCGTTGTTCGAGGCGGTAGAGCTCGAGTTCTGTGGGTTTGTTAGTTATACTTCGGTGGCAGTGTGTGGATTGAGTCTGCCTGGTTCGGATGTGTGTGTGCAGTGTGTGGATTGAGTCTGCCTGGTTCGGATGTGTGTGCATTGACCGAGTTTGAGTATTTGTTGTGTTTTAGGGTTGTGGGGAGGGGAGTTTGGAGGGAGAGGGACTGGACTGGCGGGGGGTAGAGACGTACTGGCTTGTAGTTTGTCCATGAGACCCATTGTGAATTAAAATGTGCAGTCGAATAGGATCAGATTAGAGGAGAATATTGTTTTGGTTTTTGAATGTTCAGAACGTGGTTGCGGAAACGGAAACTTGTTGATAATCGTTCCCTTATGCAGCAATTGGGAACGTGAGCGGTTGGTGCCGGATGTTGACGTTGCTGTGTGAGCATTTGTCAGTTCCTGGTACATGCATAAATAGAGCCATTGGCCTAGATTGTCTGGATCTGATCTGGGATGATCTGATTTGGATCTGGTGTCTGTATCTCCCTTACCTTGTTTCAGTAGGCGCTGGGATCTCAGGAGAATATGAGGGTCGCATGGAATGTTTCCGGAAGGAATGTGTCGGATTTGAATGAGAGAAAGGGGCTATTGGTCCCCGGTAAAGAGCGAATAGCGACGGAGGATAGAAGCAAAGATAAAGCAAAGATAGAAGCAAAGAACAGAAGAAGAGAAAGGGGTGGGGAGAGAACGTGGGTTGTGGAGTTTAGATTCACTAGTCAGGGCTGATGACACCGCGTCGTCGTTTCAGATTTATAGAAACTTGTCACTTGTTAACTACAGTATGCGATAAGAAGGTAATTTTCCTTTAGGAAGCTCTATTCTAGAATTGTTCTTTCTTTCTTCTAGGCACATCCATATCCTATGTATCACATCTACGGTACGGAGTATAGCTCAGTGCTGGAAGTCTAGCCCGCGCACGGATAGCACTAATTTAATCGCGCATACGCTAAAACAGGTTTAGGCGGGTAACTATTGAGCTTTGTTCGTCGCGGGAAACACACTTAACGCTAAGTTGATAATGTAACTTCAACCTTTATATACTTCCCCTCAGACCTTGCCGCTTTTTGTTCAAAAGGGAGCAACATAGATAAGCACAAAAAGCACACTGACCTACTCACGTGAGCCTCAGCTATGCTAGTACTGTCACGTGCAGCCCTCTTTATATGGCCCTATTGTCCTATCACAAAAGGCCTGGCTCTATCAAAGGGCTCATTTATCCTAGTACCATCATTTGCGGGAGGGTGACTCCTTTAGATCGGGCTCAAGATACGCAGGATTCAGCCGATGGGTCTTCAAAGTACAGTAGATATTTAAAAACTTTTTATGAGCTGAGGTTCAACCGGGGTCCCTTCAGACCGATCTCATTCTTTTTATAAGAATGCATGCATTGATAGCCTGTAAGCATCTATATAATTGTGGTGGCCCGCAGTTGCTGGCTTAAGAGACAGCGAGTGGACAAATTCAATCTTCAAAGACCGCATACTCTACTAGAACGGGTTTAGGTAGGTAACGATTGAGCTTTGTTCGCGGGAAACACATAACGCTAAGTTGACAGTGTAAGTTATCTCCAATCCTGATGTATTCCAATCTCTACAATCATATATCATTTACGCCTTACTATCAATATCCTCTCCCTGGTTCCGCTCCAGCTCCAAATCCTGGGCCATAGACAGTTCCTGGGCTATGATAAAGTTAGCAATCAATAATCCAAACACGCAACACTGTAAGTACTCACCATTCCATAATTCCGCATAGATTCCATTACGATCGAGTAATTCACGGTGCGAACCCATCTCTGCCACCTGGCCTTCCTTCAGCACCAGGATCTGGTCGCTATCACAGATGGTGCGCAGACGATGAGCTACGAAAACACTAGTACGGCTCTTGTCCTTAAGAATGCTGTTGATATTCTGGAGGAGGGCTTGCTCCGTGTAGGTGTCGAGGGCGGATGTCTAAATATAGATGAGTTGACTGACCACCTGGTGTAAAATAAGTACTTACTGCCTCGTCGAAGAAAAGTAGTTGCGGATCCTTCAGAATCAACCGAGAGATTGCCAGTCGCTGCTTCTCTCCACCGGAGATCATCATGCCGCGCTCACCTACTGCGGTCTGGTAGCCCTCTGGTAGACCTTCGATCAGCTTGTGGATGTGGGCCCGCTCGGCGGCGCGGCGCACTTCATCGTCGGATGCATCGATCCGTCCGTAGCGGATGTTGTGCGCGATTGTGTCGTTGAATAGGGGTGTATCCTGCGGCACCACTCCAATGGCTTTGCGGAGACTGTCAAGGCTCACATCACGGACGTCTTGGCCGTCAATGAGGATACGGCCGGATTGGACGTCGTAGAAGCGGAACAGAAGACGCAGAATTGTAGACTTGCCGCAGCCGCTAGGGCCGACAATGGCAAACTTCTGTCCAGCGGGAATACTGAAGGTGGCATTCTTCAGGATTGGGCGGTCTGGGTGGTAGCCGAAAGTAACGTTCTCGAAGCGAATCTCGCCGCCCTGGGTGAGCTGCAGGGGTTTGGCGTTGGGTCGTTCGGTGATTGTGACATTGACCTTCTGCAAGTTGAAGAGAGTCTCCATGTCCAACAGGGACTGGCGCAACTCGCGGTAGACAGAGCCCAAGAAGTTGAGGGGAACAGAGAGCTGGAAGACTAGCTGGTTCACCATTACCAGGTCACCGACGGTCAAGGCCCCGGTTGCAACTCCATCGCAGGCCAGGTACATCATTGCGGCCAGCGCAGAGGAGAAGATCATGTTCTGACCGGAGTTGAGGAATGCCAAGGAGGTGGTGACCTTGATGGATGCATCTTCGTAATTCTTCAAGGCCTTTCCGTATCGTGCAACTTCAAATTTTTCGTTATTGAAGTACTTGACAGCCTCGTAGTTGATGAGTGAGTCCACGGCAACAGTTGCGCCGCGGTTATCAGCTGCGTTAGCCTGTCGGCGAAACTTGGTTCGCCACGCAGTGGTAGTGATGGTGAATGCTGTGTATGCGATCATGGTTGTGGTGGTGATGGCAGCAAATTGGAGGCCATATTGATAGGTCTAGGAGGTTAGTTGGATTCACTTAAATGTCGGCATCAAAGCATACCAGAATACCGCAGACAAGCGAAATTTCAAGCGCAGTCGGTACCACATGGAAGACCATGGAGGTCAAAAGGAAGCTGATGCCTTTAGTACCACGATCTATCGCACGGGTTAGACCGCCGGTCTGCCGGGAAAGATGGAAGTTGAGATCCAGTCGCAAGAGATGTTCAAAGACATTCGAAGCCACTTTTCGGATTGCTTTCTGTGCAACACTAGCAAATACCGCATTGCGGAGTTCTTGGAACAATGTAGCTCCAATTCGAGTCACACCATCTAAAATGTAAATTAGCCAGGAGTCTCTTTTTTTTTGCGATAGTCTCTCTCTCACAGGCAATAATCATCGACCCAGCCACAGTGTAGGCAGTCCCACCGACAGAAGCAAAGTCTACATTCATCGAGTCGACAATGCTCTTGAAGTAGAAGGGGATCTCCACATTGAGAATCTGCATAGAATATGTCAGTCTCACCGAACGCTTCCATTTCTAGAAAAGAGCCAACCTTTGCACCAACAAGCAATGACAATGCCGAACCGACACGGAGCTTCGTACCCCAATCATCCTGCAGCTAATCAATACCCAATCATTGTATAGAATAGCACTCGGGCATTACCTTCGGCCACAGATACTTGGCCATTTCCCTCATAATGGCCCAATCCGCCTTCCGTTGTTCCTTCGTTGCAGCCATAGGCTCACTCAGCAAGTCCTTTTTTGGTGTCTTCGCATCGCCATCTTTCGGCGTTTGGACGATTTTGGCGCTGGCCAATTGCGACGGGGCTGGGGTAGAAGCACCGACTTTCGTAGATGTCTGATCTTTATTTTCTGTAGATTTGTTCCGCAATGGGATACCGCCTGATGTGAATACACGCAGGTGCGTTCCGTTAAGTCGCGTGCACCGTGACCGGCCGGTGAAGCTCGGATATGCGAATTGCGCCGTGCGCCAGCACGGCGATCGCGCGGCTCTGAGCAGCATGGCTGCTTGGTAAAATATGAATCAATCTCCGGGAATTGTTTGAGTCACTGGAAAGCTCAGGGGTGCATAATGAGCACAGGTGACGTTGTCGGCAGCTGTCCCGATAGCTCGCGGGGGAAAAGGCCGCCGGGTTCGGAGAAAAACTATCGGGGTCCCCAATGCCGGAATAGTAGCAGAGTACTCTGTAGAGTGTAGCGATGCAGAAATAGAAAACTATCCCACTTTATATAGAAATAATCCAATGTCGCAATTCCGAGTGTCAGTTGTGTACTCCGTAGGTGCTCGGCGCCACGATTTCCCGACTCTCGCGCTTTCCTGACGTAAACTTCGCCAGGACTCTCTCTGTCTGCGCCATTCACACCTGGGCACCATGCGTCCTTCCTTACAGCAAGGCGTTCGGCCTTTGTCCTGGACACGAGTCATTCCTCGTAGGCAAACGCGCTATGTTCAGATTCGCGCCGCGCCCTCGGGGGTGCCTTCGGTCAACGACCACCTGCCCCTCGCTAACACGCCCAGCTCTGTTGAATCACGAGGTAATTGAGCTTCCTCCGCGGTCAAACCTTTGGCATTGGGATATAGGCTAATAGCGATGAGAAATAGATGCGCGGTTCGACGTTGTCGGCGCTCCGTATTCGCTCCTTTCGGTTTCTCTCTCGGCGTCGCAAAACTTGTACACACGACGAGGAACACTGGTTGGCTTGAGTGGAAAGGCGGATAATGTAGGCAATGCTATCTTTGTGCAGACTTTGGCAATAATCTTTGCTAATATGCCGATCCCAGGTGATTTCAACATTGAGCGTTCTAGAACCTTTCCGCAGGGCTGTCGTGGGAGTGCCCTTCCTTTACCAGAAGGTATATTGGGCATATAAGTTCAGGTGGAAGTCAATGAGCCATAGGTTGACGTGTGTATAGGTCTCCTCCGCCACCCCCGTCACAGCTCTCGTCTCCGTTCGGTCACCCAACACTTCCTTCGCCGTTGTGAATGTCAATGGATCCGTGGACTGGATGGTTGCCCAACGACGGGCTTTGCTTGCATGGACGGGGCGGTCTCTGTCTATCAAGCCGACTATCAATGCCAGCCTGGTTCGTTAGACCTTACTTGCCTGCGAGATATGAAGCTAATTTAGGCAGAGCTTATCTCATTGGGGCAGTTCCGAAGTGACCGGCCGAGGACTAATAGCCTTGGTTGGTAACGGGCAGCTCTATTCGGTTGAGTTGAAGGAGGGCGAACAGTATATTGCGCACCCCAGGTATGTTTCTATACTAACAGCCCGTGTTGCACATGGCTGATCCTTCATAGCAACGTGCTCGCCTACACAATGTCCTCCAACCCTCCCCGTCCCTACCGCTTCAAATCCACCACCCTCAGCTTCCAAGTCCCAGGCTTGAAGACTCTCCCGAGCGTCTTCCAAAAGGCCAAGTTCATCCGCGACATGTCCGATTCCAAGGCATACAAGACCACCATGCAGTTCTTCCACAAGCTGCGTACCTGGTCTCGCATGACTATCTGGGGTGATAGGGTATGTCACTTTCTTCTTCTGTTGATGTTCACCAGCTAACTCTATTATCTAGCTCTTCATGCAGTTCGATGGCCCAACAACCATCCTTATCCAGTCCCGCGGTCCTCGTCTCAACGACGTCTTGTCAGGACAGGAAGTCAACGAGATTGCCGGCACCCCTCGCGGCTTGTCCTCAGCCCCCTACCAGGCCATTGAGGTCGAGAAGACAGACTCTAACAAGTCCGCTAGCTATACCTCGGACATTGAGCGCTCGGTCGAGCAACTGGAGCAGGAAATCCGGGGAACTAGCCAGAGCGTTGCAAAGATCCGCAAAGATGGTAAGGTGGAAATTGAGGAAGTTAGTCGCAACTAGATGTAGACCATGGTCTAAGGGAGTTCTTCGCATTGGGTTCTGTAAGGCTAGGGCGGTCTCCGTTTGGGATGAGTATTACGTTGCATCCTGTACAGTATGAGCATTTCTTTTCTCTTGGTGCCACTTGATCAATCTCTATTTCTTTACTTCTAGGCTCCATTTCTCAAATATTGACGCGACAGTAGTCTAAAGGGGGTGGGAGTAACATAGAAGTGGCGTGGTGATGCTGATTTTGGCGTAGGACTCTGAGAAGAAGAGCCCAGAAGGCGATTGTGATCTCCCGTGTACTCGTCGACTTGAGCCATGTGGACACAAATGCCAGGCTAAGTGTCATGCAACAGTTATGCACGACGCTTTTTCCTGCTGCAAGCCTTGCCCTCGGATTCGTAAGACCTCTGATCATGCGTGCCCCAGGGTCTGTGGTGAGAAGTGTTGTCCTTGTTTGGTCAAAATCCCTGATGTATCAGAAGTTTGGGCACGGCTGCTTGCGAAGACTGGAGTGCGGTGGTGATGTACTTCTTGTTCTTCTTGATGTTGTTGGCACAGAAGATAACGGGTTTCCATGCATGTAGAAGGTCTTCGGCATCGAACGAGAAGGGGGCTTGCTTGACCTGGGATGCTTCGAACATATCAATGTTGCGGGTACGCATCAACCGGACAATCCACCAAAGCGCGGCGAATATCGCAGAGGGAGGACGCGGTAACAATGTGCTCTCCAACCGTGAGGCGGGCAGAGTCAGCGAGAGCGGGACTCCATTTTTGGGCATTGTCAAAAGCGTGCTTGATAATAGGAAAGCGAATCTGTTCCTGGCCAGTGGTGAGATCTGGATGACCAAAGGAGTTCGCACGATCGGTTGCAAATTAGTCTATATATCACGAGAGTGTTGGAAGCTTGGGTCGGTACTGTAGATTTTGTGCGGAAAAGCTGTAGTGGCAAAGCTATATCAACCAGCAATCTTTGAGGCCGAGTTGTCGAGACGTTATATGAAATCAGGGGCATAGTTGATATTGCCAACCTGCTTCGAGAGTTGAAGACATGGTAGGTGAAGAGAGAGATGTAAGAAAGTTGATAGCGGTGGGTCAAATGATGTAGTGGAAAACGTCGTGAGGTGAAATCGATGTTGTGGGTGAGGATGCGGTTCTTCGTGGCTGTAAAGGCAAATCTGGCCTGTGTTAGTAACGATTCATAAAAATCCTCAAATTCTGAGGTACGTCACATACAAGAGAGATGAAGGTGGGGGAAATAGAAGAGAAGGTTTAAAAAGGAGGAAGAAGAAATAATATACCTTCCTAATCTAGTACTTGTGAGGATATCAACCTCTACGAGCTTACTTTCTGAGGTACCTCAGAAAGTATAGGTACGCTTGTTAGTCGGTCCAGACTCTAAATTGATACTATCTAGGTTCTAATGACGTAGAGGTACTTTTCTGTTAGTTGGATTGCGACCTGAGCACCTAGGCTATGGCCTTTCCGCCTATTGCAGAGCTTTGGATGAGTGTGTGAATTGTATCGGCTGCTTTACCCATCGTGAATCCTGTTTTGCGGCGTCTCCATGGCCGGGTAGGTCTGGGGTCAGGACGTGGAAGGATTGGTCAAGATCCCGAGGCTATCTGCTTCCAGTCGGCGCAGTTTGTGAGAGCGCCATGGATGAGGACAATTGTTTCATTTTCTGTCATGTTTGATCGGAGAGGCTACCATACTATTCACTTGGGCGAATGTAAAAGGGAACCTGTCTCAAGGAACCTGGGCCTGAGAAGGATTCGGCCCCCAAATTCAACGCGTACTTCAGATCTTACTGCATGACTAGCAGATTGTATGCCTGGCTTAAGGATATTTCGCCTCGATTGAAGGTGTCGTATGCAGAATAAGAGACTATTTGAGGACTATAAAGATCTATACGCCCTCAAGCCTTATGGACTTGACTTTAACGTGGATCCTATACCCTTTCGAATAGTTTAAGTTAATTAACTTACTATTCAACCTACATATACTACAAGAAGCATCGGATTAAAGAAAACAGTAAAAACGCAATTAATTAAAACGAGAAATATCATGTGAGAAGGGTGGTAGGTATCCTTTAATATAGAAGTTGTCATCTTGTAAGCCTGAATGAACTGTCGAGGGTTTCTAACTAAAATTATTATGAGAAGGCGAGATGGAGTACTCCTCTAAAGTAGTTCGATATTAAGAAGCATACCTTTAAAATGATGTATATCCTTCAGTGGAAAATATGAGGACTTACAATTCCTTAAAGCCGCCTCGGCCTTTCGGACTAAGACGGGCACATCTCCGACCTGTTCTCCCCGGGCCCAAAGACCCGCGGAATCTCCTCGGTTCTCCACAGGGTCAAATCAGACCGCATAATAACGTGGTGAGTCAATAATAGCGGAGCCACTATGTCTTTGCTTGGTTTAGCTCCAAATATCAGAAAAATGACCAAGATTAAGCACTGTTCGGACTTAGTGAGATGCGATGGCCGAGACTCCTTATATTATCTTTTCTTTTTGTCTCTTTGATCTTGATCTTGATCTTAAACCCACCTATATACTTTAAGGGTCTGTTTCGTTACATATCTAAACCTTCGAGTCTCGGAAGTTTAGCGCCCAACCGGAAATTACTCCGTTTGCTATTTTCAAGTGAGTCGCATCGCATTTTGAATTAAGCCGTTTCTTCGTTACACAGCGCTGTTTCTTAATCTTGTACTTCCCGTCTCCGCGAAGTCTATAAATCCACTTTTATGGCCCAAACACCAGTTCTAATCCCATTATTCAAAACAGATTGCGAACAATTGTATATCCTCGTCCCAAGGACGATTATAGAGAACCCAAAGAGCCTTCCTAATAATGACGGCCACCAACCCTCCGTCCATCGATAGTGCCACTACAAACATACCTCCATCTGACAACTCAACCCCCGCCATGAGTGTCCAAGGGAATGAAGACCCCGAAAAGGGAATCCAAGGACCGGAAAAGACAGAACCTGCAGCCGACGCACAACCGTCTGAAAAGTCCGTCGCTGCTGGCCCAGAGCCCGCAACGCCAGCAATTGGCCCGCCGCCTGATGGAGGCGCGGAAGCATGGTTGGTTGTTCTGGGAGCATTCTCCGGTCTGTTCGTTAGTTTTGGCTGGATTAATTGTATGTGTCACCTGCTTGTATGATATTGCAAGATACTAAACTCCCACCAGGCATCGGAGTCTTCCAGACATACTATGAGAGTCACCAATTGAGCGAGTACTCCACCAGCACAGTGACATGGATCACATCGCTGGAAACATTCATTATGTTCTTCTGCGTACGTCCAATATACATTTAACAGCAACGAAAACCAACATCTAACAATATCATAGGGCCCAATCTTTGGAACAATGTTCGACAGCTACGGACCCCGCTGGATCCTCCTCTTAGGCACATTCCTCCACGTCTTCGGTCTAATGATGGCCTCCCTCTCAACGGAATACTACCAATTCATCCTAGCACAAGGAATCTGCAGCCCAATCGGCGCAAGTGCAATCTTCAACGCCTCAGTCAACTCTGTCAGCACATGGTTCGCCAAACGCCGCGCCTTCGCGCTGGGCGTGACAGCCTCCGGATCAAGTCTGGGTGGTGTTATCTTCCCCATCATGGTGACCCGTCTGATTCCTGAAGTCGGTTTCCCTTGGGCTATGCGTATCTGCGCGTTCCTCATTCTCTTCATGTTGGGTATTGCCAATGTCACCCTCAAGTCGAGGCTGCCGCACCGTCCCAAGCCTTTTGATATCCTGAGTTTCCTGCGACCATTGACAGAGCTGAAGTTCGCGCTTACACTTGCCGGTGCTTTCTGTTTCTTCTGGGGAATGTTCTTGCCTTTCACTTTTGTTATTACTCAGGCGGAAAGATACGGCATGTCCCCCGGACTGGCTCAATATCTGATTCCCATTTTGAACGCTGCTAGGTAAGTTCTAGTTTTTCTCTTTCTTTATGGGGGCTTAATCTAACCAAATTAAATAGTATCTTCGGCCGTACCCTTCCAGGCTACTTCGCCGACAAAATCGGCCGTTACAACATGATGGTTGTCACAACTTTCTTCTCTGCAATCCTTGTCCTAGCGCTCTGGCTACCATCACGAGGCAACGCCCCTGCCATCGTCTTCAGTGCTTTGTATGGTTTCGGCTCTGGTGCCTTCGTCTCCCTCGCCCCAGCATGTATAGCACAGATCTCGGATCTACGCCAGGTAGGCGTGCGCAATGGTACTTTCTTTGCTATCATCTCCTTCGCGGCTTTGACGGGCACTCCAATTGGTGGTGCTCTGGTTCCGGATGTGCTACATGGCTCTTATACTAAACTGCAAATTTTCTGTGGTGTTGTTATGATTGCTGGATCAACGCTGTTTGTGTTGGCGAGAGTTGTTGTTGGTGGTGGGTTTAAGCTGAACAAGGTGTGAGATGAGGGGAAAATGGCTTCTATGGACGGTGGCATTTAGAGTATATATTACGATATTAAAAGTTATATTGTTGATATTTAATGTTTATATAATTTCTCTCATTTCTATGCATGGAGGCTTTGACAAGGTGGTTACCTTGGCACCGAAAAAGTATATATGGTTTTCAAACGAAGGAATAGCGTATGTTTTAGAACTAGAGAAAATCTGTAGCCCAAATCTGCTTCGTAGAACCAGATAATGACAATTATACTGAATTGTCGAGAACAATTGGTCAACTGCCAAGATTTGCTAGTAACTAACTATACCCTAACTTAACTAACTTATAAGTTATCAATACTTATGGGTTAGTCACTACTTATTTTGTGCTATAGACTATAAAACTTATTTTTTATCTAATATGTCAACAAAACAACTTGGCTAAAAACAACGAATCGCCTGTTTTCATCGAAAAACCCCAATCGGGAAACTTGCGGGAAACATCGGCATGCCGAAAACGGCTAATTTGACACCCTTTCCACCGCTTTTTTCGCACCCATTGTGCCAAACTTCCGATAACCATTTGGAAGACATTATTTGATCTGATACAAACGATCGTCAACCACAATTTTCAAATTGAAGATCCAGGACGGGCGTGCAACACAAAAGATTACCGGTTTCGGCCGACGTCCGCGCGGGAAAAATTCAAGGGCTCCACCCAATTCCCCGGCATTCAGATTTTTTCTTGGCTTTGGGGTAAATTTGCAATTACGAAAATCTGATCTCTGAATCATCTGTGCTATCAATGCTGGAATAAGTGCTTGGCTTATTCATTCGGGCTGCTATTCCCCAATATACTTCGGGAAAAGCGCCGAGCAGGACAAAGTCTGCCCGCCATGAGTGACCAAGACTCATATGCCGTTCAAGGCAAGGCCATTGATGAATCCTTTCAAAATGATGAGAAGCCTTTCGACGCGAAGGACCTGGAGCCTTTTGGTAATGAGGAGACTGCTGAGGTTAAGTATCGGACTATGAAGTGGTGGTATGTGACTCGTTCTGGCTTTTGATATCAATGGACATGGCTAATCGTGGTTATCAGGCATTGCGGCATGCGTGAGTCTCTAACTCTAGATATGTTAACGTTTCAGCTTTGATACTAACAATATTCTGCAGTCATGATTGCTGAGAATGTCTCTGTTGGAATTCTCTCTCTCCCGTCTGCTGTGGCCACCCTTGGAATGGTTCCGTATGTATATCCTTCAGCATCTTTCCCAAAAACACATTGACTAATAGTAATACAGTGCTGCCATCATGATTCTGTTCATCTCCGCTCTGTCATGGTATACGGGCTATGCCATTGGCCAATTCAAA